GAAGTTTGTGTTACATCACTATTGTCCCCTGTAAAAGGGAACAGGACAGATTCAATCACAGCCTTGCATATTTGATCAAGAAGTGATGTTGTCAGTCGCAATTGTTGTCCTGCTGTCGTTTGAAAGCTTTCAAGCTGTTACCACAATTGTGAGAAGGTAATTTGGCCAAAACAATGGCAATAAGTGATTACAATTAAGTTCTACTGCAGCAGAGCAAGTTACTTCCAAAAGAACAAGGATGAAAAGGAAAATAAGAAAACTTATCCACATCCGTGTCAAATATGGTTGAGAACAATGCTTTCTTGTCCTCAGGTTTGGGAATATGACTCAGAAACATGCCTGGCAAGGAAAGTCGAGATATAAGAACTTCATTTCTCTGACAGGCATTTGGCTCCAAAAGCTGACATCCACTCCCATGGCCAAAAATAATGAAGTACCACAAAGAAGCCACCAGCACCATTTCCTTTGTCAACAAGAATGTGGATGTCAAATCCTTAAAGTGCAAGAAAGAAATAATAACAGAAAAATAAGAAAATCACAACACCACCTCAGCTTGAACTTTTCACAAGATTTTATTCACTCCATGTCCTTGGATGTCACGGCTCCTTGTGAGGAGCTTGCACCATGTATCTGCTTAAGATGTCGCTTATGTCTGCCACCGAAAAACTTGAAACCATTCCTGTTGTAAGGAAGATGTCTAGCTGCAATAACGTCAGCAGCCACGTGGCACTTCTTCCCGCCAAAACCTTCCGTGTTTTTCCTCACGCCGGAACCACGGAGTTGTAGCGCTCGCCCAATCCAAACGCGTATGAGAGCCTGATCGATGGATTCGTCCCATCGCGCTGGAACTCACTGCCCATCTCCACGATTGCCATCTCCGCCGAGAACACGAAGATGTGCTTCTGGAGCGCGTGAGAGAGGGCCTCGAGCTCCAATTGCCCTCCCCAGGCCGCGGTCGATTCAATCTCCCGGCAGTAATCCTCCAGCTCCACATCGCCGCCGATGAATGGCACGAAATCCTCTGGGTGCTCGCGGATGTAGCCCGCAGCGATCTTCCGGAGCTCCTGGAACGAGTACTGGGGCGCGCTGGGATGGAGATGGAGCTGATCTTCCACCGCCCGGTACAAGCAATGCCCGTCGGGTTTGATCTCCTCGAGTGACAATCCCACGCTCACGAGCAGTGCCTGTTCGTCCTGGATGCGCTGCTCCCTCTCGGCGTCCTGCTGCACTCGTCGATCCCGCCACTTCTTCCCCTTGGAGATTCTTGGCGGCGGACCCGCGATTGTCCAGCCGCCCAGCATTCGTGTCCTTGCTGCCGCTCCTCGGAGATTTCTTCCTCGTCTTGGCCTTTTGCTCCACCTTGCTGCCCTTGGCAGCGGCCTTTTTGAGCTCGATCTCTCGATTTCGCAGCTCCTTGATCTCCTTCCTGCCGCCACGACCATCATCGTCACGAAAACAACCCTGCGACTTATTGGTGACGGCTCTTAGAATATTTCCTAGAATATTCGTAGCATATTTAAAAAATGTTCGCTAGAATATTCTTTATTGGAAGGGAATATTTCGCTCGTGCCTCAAGTTTTTTCGAAGGCGCAGGGCAACTTCTATTGGAGTTTTTTGTGTAAACATCATCTGTAGTCCACACAACTTGCCTCCATTGGTACTCCAGAGAAAAACGTCCTGGCACGGTGAAGTGATCTGGATCCCAATGACTCGCACGCCGTTTTGCTGTTCAACGAGCTTCCCAAGGCAGCAATGAGAAGAATCGAGCCAGGAATTCGTTTGTCACGCAAGCAGACATTTGTGCATTCACGTATGTCTAACAACATCATCTTGTCTTACAGGAGTAGCCACTGCTTCTACCTCTGGCATAGCTTTCTCTCTAGAAGGTCAGCATCTTCCAGTTTAACTTCTTCCTGGCCTTGTTTGCATTTACTGACATCTGGTGATCATCAGGCTTGACATGTAATTCTCCATCCTTTAAAGATACGTTAGCAGAAGCAGCAGCTTGATCATGAGCAGGTTCGGCTTGTCCACTTTCCTCCTGCCTTTTCTGGGGATTTAGAGCCCTAGAATCCATGATGACAACGTGAATCTTCTAAAAGATATCGGTGCCTCCACCATCTATCAACCTCATTCTTTACAGGGTGCTGCTATTGCTTTGCCTCCAGGTTAGTAGTGAATGGTGATTTTTGAGAGAGAGAGAGAGAGAGAGAGAGAGAGAGAGAATTTGATTTCAATTGCCCCCGTCCGTGTTGCCCAGCACATCTCAGCCGTCCGTGTGAAGGGCAATTCTTATAAAGTTGATTCCCTTAGGTGCAGCATGGCGGATGGCGCTAAGCCGAGGAAGAGGAAGAGCAGCAAGTTGAGGCGACATCATAGAGGCTTCAAGGGATCGGAAATCAGTGTCTTGAGTCTGCCAAAGCTGGACATCTCAGCCAAAGGGAAGGAGTGCGTCCTTTTGCTCATGACAGGGTCTGAAGGCAGGTTCAAAGACAGGCTCTCATGGCCGCCTGTGCTGGCCTGGTATCCAGAGGAGCAGCTGGTAGGAGTGGTGTCAAACAGGCTGTTGCCCCCGGGCTTCATTCCTATGGCCTCATCCTCGGGCATGCTGTGGCTTTCACAAGAACGACATCTTGTCTGAGGGCCTCCAATGGTCGCTCTACCGATGGAAGTTGCGGGTGGCCGTTTGCAATCCTCACACCGGATTTCAACATGAGCTCCCCGTTCTCAACATGGCCGTAGAGCGCGATAGCAACTGTCCTGTGATGGCGCACACCTGGGGTCAGGTTAAGCTGGAAATGAGAGGCGACCAGGAGCACTTCAGCATTCACGTGCTCTGCAGGCGCATACGATCTGGACATTTCATCGTTTATACTTGAAGTCTGGAACGAGTCCACTAGTAGCGGCATACTGACGGCTGATCTTACCGGGGACCTCATCTTTCCAGGTAGCAGGTTGCAAGCTTATGATACTCGCTCTAAGGCCTGGACTGCAATTCCAATTCCCGGTGCCAAAGCTTGGAACGACTTCCCGCTGCCACAGGGTCTTCAAGGCCGCTACTCTTACTGTAGAGTGGATCCGTTCCGGTACGGGCACAAGCTGATGGTGCTTGGCCAGTGCAACGGGGCCGGGGCCATTGTATTGCTGGAGCTGGAAGAAGAAGGCGGCGGGCGGCACTGGAATCCGGTAGCGTGGGCAACCCTGGACCAGTTCCAGTTTGCAGAGTACGAGACAGGACAGTGTCCAGCATACTTGGTCGACTGGCCTCTACAAGGTGGCGATCTGCTAGTCATGCGCGCGGTGACGTGCTCGATGCTGCAAAAGCCTGTTGCTCTCCATCTCAAGCGGCATAACTGGCTGGAACTTCCAACAAGCGTTCACCACCTCAATGTCCAGGCAGTCTGCATCTACAGCCCGTAAGAACAGAGACCAGCGAAGAATTTGTATTGAAGAAGGAACGAGGAAGAGGAGCATCATCTCGTTTCAAGTACTTCAGGACGCCCGCCTTCAGGAACTGTCTGCGTCTACAACCCGTAGCCTGCTAAGTAAACTCTAGGCGGGAGGAAAAGAAATGAAAGCAGCCATGCTGTGTATGTATCTTTGAGAAATACCACTCTGCAGATCCATCAAGCTACTGCGGAGCCTCCTGTCGTTGCTGTGGAACAATCTCGACAGGAACTGGAGCTGAGAGAGCTTGCAGTAGAACCAAACCGGCTGGTGCTGCTTCACGGGAGAATTCTCACGATGAGCTGGCTGAGCCATTCAGGAAGAAGGGCAAGAATCTTAATGAATCTTGCGTAGTTTTCTCTTTGAAAAATAAGAAAATCACAACACCACGAACACTTTTCACAGGATTTTATTCACTCCATGTCCTTGGATGTCACGGCTCCTTGTGAGGAAATTGTGCCATGTATCTGCTTAAGATGTCGCTTATGTCTGCCACCTAAAAACTTGGTCGTATGGTCGTCTACGAAACTATGTCTTTTACAGCCATTTCACCAAAGAAATATGTACATGACATACAAAATGCCATTCCTGTTGTAAGGAAGATGACTAGCAAAACTATATAAAGTTTATTTAATAGTTGTTCAAGCTAATTTGTATCAATTTTTTTCCTTCAGGTTTAGGGTCTATGACCTTTCAGTTTTTGCTACTGTGTTTGTCACCAGAACAATATAGCTTCCTTGCTATAACAAATATCTTTTTCTTCCTTGTGATGCCTCTTTTGCTAATTAAACTTATCATCTTCCTTGTGACATTACTTCTATTCCGAACAAAATCTTTTCACATCTTTTTACAATGTAGAGTATCTAATGAACTTACATAGAAACAGATTGAAGTAACTCTAACATCCTGAGACACAAAACAGATAATGACTACAAATGAAATATCTTTTGAACATTGAAAGCTTCTCCCTGTTGAGCTCATAGAGCTTACTACCATTTTTGACATGAATTTGAAATTCAGATTTGCTTCACTCCTTAGAGTCTTGGAAAGTGTTGTCTTGTCATCTTGTTTTAGCTTTGAAGCAATTCCAACTCTTTTTAAGTTGAAGATGTTGCTGAGCTTCCCAGCTGCAGCTTAAGGAATGCTTACTTTTAGAAGACCAAAAGTGTTGATAGAGAAATAGAATATAAACAAATGGCACTCTATGTGTGACATACCTAAAACAAATAAGGTGCTCTTTAAGAACACAAAAGGAGAGAGGAGGCTCGGTTTTTTCCCAGGGAAGCACACAGAGCAAAAAAGATTATCTACACAATCGCCCTCATTTGATTGGAAAAATCACCACCCTTTTAGATCGAAAGAATATTCCTAAATAATATTCTCAAAAGAGAATATATAAGGGGAGTTAGGATCTTTCAAAAGATCGGTCCATAGGAATATGCTTGCGATCAGTTTAATATTCCTAGTGCAATATTCCTTTAATATTCCTCAGTGAAAACTACAATAAATACACCTTTGAATGCAGAGTACCTATAGGGCTAATGGATGCGGGATGGACTCAGGCAGAGGAAATGACTCCAGCGGTGGGATGGGATCCGCGCGTGGGTCTGATCGTGGCCGATTGGTTCCAAAGCAGCATAGGTACCAGATTGCTGGGAGTGGTGGCAGGGGCATTCCAGCGCTTTGGGCTGGAGCTGGATTATTCACCAGGGGCGTCGTGGTTCTACTCTATGGATGAGTCGACTGTGTCGGAGCTCAAGTGGAAGATCTGGACTGTGGCAGTCGCCCACGTCCTCCGGGTTCCCGTCCCGGAGGTTTTCTTGCATCTCTTCATCGCTGCCGACTATTTCACGCGCCAGCGAGGTTGCTCCAACCGGCAACGTTACGGTGGCCGGAAGCTACTGTCCTTCGTACTCCCTTGCCACTACGCTGTACAGAAGCTTGAACAGGTGAGTTCTCGAGATTTCTTGTGGCAAACCGGTAAAAGAGCTTCTTTTTTTGTGCAGCTCAAGGCGAGAGACATTCAGACGCCAGCCACTGAAGCGATGTCTTCGGCGGAAGGAATTACATGTATGGCTTCTCTCTTTTCCTTTTCACTTCTAACCAGTCGTCTGTGCAGATCTTGTGTCGCTCATGTCTAGAGTTCCCTCTACTTTCTCGACGCGAACATGTCTTCTGGATGCCATGCGCCTGTTTGAAGTGAGCCAGGAACTTTGCGTGCTCTTCTTGGCGTGGCTGCAGCTCCAGATCCAAGCAAACAAGCAGCCGTTCGAATGGCTCGACGCTTTCGAAGCTCAAGCCAAAGCCGGCGGCGGGGGGCACCTGGGCAACCTCTTGCTCTTCTTCCTAGACACAGTGCACGCATACAGGTTTAAGGATTTCTATCTGCCACCCAAGGAGATCATCGACAGGGTCTATAACGTTTGCTTCAAGGAACTCCCGATGGTAGAGTGGCAGTCGATCGACCTCACCGCCGGCGTCCGTCAGGTGTTGGAGGTAAGATCCTTAGCTCGACTTGCAAAACACAGATGAGACTCAACAGGCTTCTTATTCTTTTCTCTTCTTTTTCTTTTTCTTGGCAGGAGGTGGTGGCAGGAGTGACTCCCACATTCGAGTGGGACAAAAGCCTTCTTGTAACTCTGGAGCGCTGGGTTCAAAGGAGGTCGCTCGTTTACCAGCACAGGCCTCGCGAGGTTCCATACGTTATGGACTTTACGGATGCAACCTTGCAAATTGGCCGTCTGATCTACACTTGGACACTGACGAAGAAGGGGCAGCGCGACCATGCCGAGCTCCAGACGCTGTGCTCGACGGGCAAGTCGATCGTGGAGCACGCACAGTCGGTGGCAGTGGGAAGCAGCGACGAGCGCCAGCTCTACCGTGCCGCCGCTGCCGTTTTCGGCAAGGATTTTAGCGGCCATTTCGTGTAGCTGTGCAGGAACGCGCAGTGGGAGCCGGATGGGGTCCCTTGCTCGCAGTCCGAGCTGGGAGAAATAAGGGAGCTGGCATGGAGAGGGCTGATTTTAGTCTTCAACTTCGAGTACAGAGTTCCGGAGCATTACTTTGACGGCAGCCCTAAGCAACTGAGAGACGAGGTGCCGTTCGGTGCCATGATAGTCTACATTGTTCACGTACGCACACTCTCTTTGGTTTTTTCGTTGGAGTGTGTTTCTGATTTGTTTCCTTTTCTCTTGTTGTGTTGTTTTGCGCAGCTGATATTTGAGGATCGCTTGACTCTAGACATTGATCGCAAAACGTGGACAGAAGAGTGTGAGTGACATGAATTATATTTGGATGCTGGAAGTATTTACCAAAGCTGTTTTTGCAGGCACCTTAGCTCTAAATAGTCACGGAAATCGTGATACATATCGGAACAAGAGGGGCATTTTTATTGCATCAGATGGGACGAGGAAGAGATGTCTAGCTCTTGAGAAGCTGATAAACTCTCCCAACGTACAGAGGGCCTTGGGAGCAAGCGCGGATGAAATAGGCGATGCCATGGTCAAGGCGATTGCAGCAGGTGGTATATATTATGACCAGGAACACAGAGATTTATGGTTTAAAATGGGCAAAATATTCAGAGGGGATTATGAGAGGCTCTCAGCATATATTATAGCATATGCAATTTTCAGAGGATTAATTTAAACAATATGGATATCTCATCTCAAATGTGAATGAACAGTTTTTGTTTGACCTTGTTGACGACTTTTGACCTCAAAAGTGGTCTAGACATATCAAACAAACACTAGGTATGCGGCATTATATTACTGCCTTGAGCGCATTGCCCATATACGCGGCGATAAACTCCCCGAAAGTAAGCTCCCTGAAGAGAGGCTTTTTGTCCGGCACCAAGGGCTTGAGAACTGCTTCAAAGCTGGGTGAAAAGAAGAAAGCTGCCGATATTCGTGCACCTCCGGAGCTACTCGGTGCTCCACACTCTTATATATTCCATTGCTCATCACCTGCGACACCACGGCAACTTGAAAGATGGAAAGGCAAGGTACTCTCTAAGTTACCTCTAATATATCTCCAATGTTGACGACGAATGCATCCGGCATGGAGTTCACAGGCTTCCACTCGCCATTCTTTCTTATCTGGAGACCCTCTACCTCGTCCTGGAGCAGTAAGGTGATTCCCACGCCATCCGAGTGAGGACTTGATCCCAGCACAAGATCCGGCTCTGGACAAGGTGGATCCTCAGCGATGAATGAGCGTCTGGCCCGAAGGCGTCACCGAAAAGCTCTGGGGGCTGGCCGAGGGAGCTCAAGTTCGCTCTCTCGCAATAAAGCTCCTCGCTGCACTGTCGAGAGCCATAAGCTTGGATGGTTTCTCTGGAAACGAATTTGAAGAACACACAGTGCTTACCTTCGCAGGTGACATTCTAATGCGAACGGCAAAGACAAGGAGCAGAAGAACACACGAAAAGACAATGAACGAATCGTATAATTTCTGTCTACTCCAGGAGCTCAAGGAGATCGTCACATTCAGCTCCAAAGCTGGGGATCCCCGGAAGGGAATCGATGTCAATAGGACAGGGGGGGATGGGGATGTCAAGCTGTGGCCAATCACTAGACGCTCCTTCAGCATTGTATCCATTGCCACTGGGAGATGTTCCTCCAGCCTTTTCAACCTTCTTTGGCCACGCTCCCACACGATTCACCCCACAGCTTGTAGTGTCGAACGTACTGTTGCTTGAAATTGGACTGGGTGCTTTTGGCTTTTGTGATCCCGCCACTACCATTGATGGATGATCTGGGTGGAAGAAGAGTGCCTCTAGCTCTTGTGATCCTGCCACTCTCATTGATGGATGATCTGGGCGGAAGCAAGGGGCATGACGGTGGAAGCAGCAGCTTTTGCGCAAAGGGCTTTGGAGCATCACTAGCAGAAGACACTCCGGTGGCAGCTTTGGCAGGATGCCTGGCAGCATATTTGGCTGCTCAAGCTCTGTCTGCCCAAGCTATGGCAGCATGGGGTGCAGTAGAAGCTACAACCCAGGTACTTGGATCTCTCATAGTTTCTTTCCCCCACTCAACTTGTTTCAGTTGCTCAACTCATAGCCATTGTTGCTGTTGGAATTCCTTTTGAAGGACTTCTAGCCTCCTTAGCAGATATAGCAACAGTGCCGTTGATTCCTTTGTCGACATTCTTCTTCCAGCCAAATCATCCATCAGTGGGAGTGGCAAGATCACAAGAGCCCAAGAGGCACTGCTACCAAGCTTGCCACGTTCCCTATTCCCAACACTGCCACTGATGGATGATCTATGGAAGAAGACTGCCTTTGGTTCTTGTGATCCCGCCACTCCCACTAATGGATAATCTGGCTGGAAGAAGAATGTCGACAAAAAAATTAATGGCATTTTTGCTATGGCTGCCAAGGAGGCTAGGAGTCTTTTCAGAGGAATTCCAACAACAACAATGGCTATGACTTGAGCGACAAAAACAAACTGAGTGGGGGAGAATTCCCAGCTTAAGCATGACTAGCTGCTCTCACCTGTAGATTGGCTACTACTCTTGCCTGCCTCGGGCTCTGAGCTTGTGCCTGGCGCTCTGGATGCATCACCAATGCATCCCCCTTGAGTACCAAATCCTGTGTCTTCCTGATGGCGTTGACCTAATAAAAAATGTGTTGATGGGACTTAAAGTGGTGTTGGGGATGCGAATATTTTAAAGAACATTCTAGAGAATATTACAGAGAACCTTTTAAGGAATATTCCCTAGAATATTCTTCCTAGATTTTCTTATTTCCCGGGTGAGAATGGTGCCATCCTTCGTGAGATGCACTCCAATCAATTGAACTGGAGATGTTGTCCTAGTTTGGGATTAAACTCGTCAATCCTGGAAACATAGATAAACAACAACCTTTCAAACGAACCATCTTTGAGAATTGTGACACCGTGACATCTTCTGGAGCTTGAACGCTTTGAGGAGTGTCTGTGGCGTCTCCAATCACTGGGAAAAGAATAGTTCGGCACTGATAATAATACTCCTAAATGTGAATAAAATGGACCTTGTTATTGGAGGCTCAGCTGTGCCACCTGCAAAAGAGCAGATAAGGACTGATCAAACATACCTCTGTGTACCTGGGGCTTTTCTGTTCCGCATCCTGTTTTCGTTCCTCTCTCGCTTTTCCATCTCGTTTAGCTCTTCGTCATATGTAGCAAATCTCATTACTCTTAGAGCTGCTTTCAAGTCCTCCTTCAGCACCTGCAAAAAAGAGACACGAAGTTATCATGTCATTCGTGAGGAATAAACACCATACTTGACTTGAGCTTTGAGTGTGCTGTTCAAAGACGTACCATGGTCTCAAGCATGCTTGGCAAAGTGCCTCATATCTGGAGAAAACATGGGAGAGTGAACCCAGTTATTCACGTAAGTCAGAACTACGAATTCGCATAGTTGCGTAAGGCCTGCAAAGCATGCGAATCAAAGTACCAACGACGCCAGAGGGAGAGACTTACCTCTTCATTCAGTTAGCTTTGGTTCGTGAGTCTTGGCAGAATTTATGAACTTCAAAAACTTGTTTGCCCCGTGCAGGAAACGATTATACTTCACAAATATCGTAGTCCCTAGTTCATGCTCATCATCCTCGACATTTCTTGCAGCACCGCCTGGCAGACCTGAAAAGCCACCGTCATTATTCCAAAAAATACTGGCCTCGCTATTTACCTCCGCCTTCGCCGGGTGCTCGAAAACGGTGCATTGCTCAGAAATTTGGCGGTCACTATCTGCATCCATTTGATCAAGCACAATAAACAATAAGTCGAATCGTGACAGTAGAGTCCGGAAGCCCGATAGTATTTGTAGGAGTAAGTGATCGATCATACTGCAGTATTGCGTTCAAGACTTACAGTTCCATAGATAGGATTCGCTGCAGCCACGACACTGCAACGAGCCTTGGCTATCGTGACTGTTTGTTGTTCCATACCTTAATGGCAACGTGATGAATGTCGCTCAGTTTGTCAAACTCGTCTATACAGACCACGGACCTTCCGCCAGCATCATTGCTCCTGCTTCAAGGCGTCTTTCACCTGAGGATGAAAAGAGTCAAGCCACAAGTTTTGAGAAAACATTAAAAAGGCCTACCAGTCTCTTGATCGGATGTTACAGCAGCTGAGACGATCCTTGGGCAGTAGTAGAAATTGCAAATGGTGCAATGCTCATAATTGCTCGTAACAAGGGTCCCCAACCAGGAGGACACTGATGTCACTGCAACAAAATAACCTTAGAGAAACTATATAGCGTTCCGTACGAGATGCTCACCCACGTATGCGTGCCATTTCTAGATCCAGTCCACCGATAAGCAAAAGAAGCATGGCTTTCTTGATCAGGGAATGACCACATGTTGAAGGTGCAAGCGACTCCGCAAGTGAATTAAACGAATCCTCTCTGTTTCCAATGGTTCGAATATTTTTGAGATATTCATTTGTGGAGCATAAGCAGCTTTGTCAGCTGGAGAGTCTCACCTGAAAACACCGTTGATGCCCCCTTTAGATTAGATGATAGAAACAAGCTCACCTGGCTTGCAAACATCGACAAGATCATCCTCTACTATAACATCCACAGAGCACGGAAGCTGTGGCATTTCTTGAATCGACAAGACTTGATGGTTAAACTCAGTCACCAAGAGATTCCCGTGGTCATCCTAACAAAATAAACGAGTAAAATGTGGTAATTCTCCAGCCTTTAAAGATACGTCAGCAGCAGCAGCAGCAACTTGATCATGAGCAGGTTCGGCTTGTCCACTTTCCTCCTTCCTCTGGTCGTCCTTTTCTGGGGATTTAGAGCCCCAGAATCCATGATGGCCTCGAAAGGCATCGTGAATCTTCTAAAAGACATTGGTGTCTCCACCACTGTCTATCAACCTCATTCTTTAGAGGGTTAGTAGTGACTGGTGGTTTTTTAGAAGAACGCTACCAGGATCGAAAGCTAACTAAGGCTGGTTTTCCTGCTCGCAAGTAGCAGCGAGACCGCTGTTTCAGAGAACGGTTACTTCTGCAAGTATGGTTATTTACATTTTTTTATTTTTTATTTCCTTATATTCTTGTTTTCCACTTCCTGCATGCCAGGTGGACCAGACAGATCCTACTATTGAGGTCAAGAAGAGCGCTCACGTGTTCATTCGCGCAGTACAAAGGCAAGCACTCTATCCATCTAGTTTGCTTGACAACTTCTTGAATGCTCCAGGCAATGGAATAGCGGTGAGAGGCCGAGGCTATTGCATGACAAGCATCAGAGTTGACGGAAACGACGAGCTGGCAGTGTACAAAGCTGTAAGCACAGCTCGCAAGCTCGTCCCTTTATCTCGAGGTATTCTCTGAGCAGCATGCCTTTCGTTCTAGGGACTCTATTCACTTTGCGTCGCTTTAGAGCATCTGTCCAGGCAATGACTTATCTGGTGGCTGAGGTTGGGGAAAAAATCTGATGAGTTTGAGCGGAAGGAGCGATGAAAGCCACTCCTGCGGCCAAGCCAACTCGATCGACCATAGTAGCGCCAAAGTTCGAGCAAAATGGGAATGGATTGAGATGGCTGTCAGCGAGGTGAGGCAAGTTTTGTTGTGATCTTTTGATGCCGCAAGTGACAGATAGCTAACTTGGCAGCCAGAAACCAAGCAATGGAGAAAGGATGAGAGAGGACTGGACACTTTCCTGAGAGTACAAGCGCTTATTATGATCAGCTTTTCGATGTGGAGCGAAGGGAGGATATCAGAGGCAATGGATGATTAGGCACCCGAAAGAAGAGGGACAGTGTTTCAGTAGTGCGAACTATGGTGAGTACTTCACACATTTTTCATGTTTATAATGGTTTGCAGGGTATTCTAGTGAAAGCGAATGAGTTCAAAACAAGATTGTGAAAGCCATGGTGGCTAGCTGGTATTAGGACGCTCCAATGTCTGAGCTTGAAGTTTGAAATCGCCCGTTGACCATTCTAGTTGGTATCAAATTTGATTCCAATTGCCCCCCCCTGAGGTAATATAATTATTTATGGCAACACTAGGTATTCAAAAAAGTTTATAAACTGCTCATTCCCTTAGGGTTTGCAATGAAGAGGAGCAGCATGGCGGACGGCGCTAAGCCGAGGAAGAGCAGCAAGGTGAGGCGACATCATAGAGGCTTCAAGGCGTCGGAAATCAGTATCTTGAGCGATCTGCCAAAGCTGGACATCTTAGCCAAAGGGAAGGAGTGCGTCCTTTTGCTCATGACAGGGTCTCATGGCAGGTTCCAAGACAGGCTCTCATGGCCGCCTGTGCTGGCCTGGTATCCAGAGGAGCAGCTGGTAGGAGTGGTGTCAAACAGGCTGTTGCCCCCGGGCTTCATTCCTATGGCCTCATCCTCGGGCATGCTGTGTGGCTTTCACAGGAACGACATCTTGTCTGACTCGCTCTACCGATGGAAGTTGCGGGTGGCCGTTTGCAATCCTCGCACCGGATTTCAACATGAGCTCCCCGCTCTCAACATGGCCGCCGTAGAGCGCGATAGCAACTCTCCTGTCATGGCGCACACCTGGGGTCAGGTTAAGCTGGAAATGAGAGGCGACCAGGAGCACTTCAGCATTCACGTGCTCTGCAGGCGCATACGATCTGGACGTTTCACCGTTTATACTTGGCACTCGAGCTCCCAAGTCTGGAACGAGTCCACTAATAGCGGCATACTGACGGCTGATCTTACCGGGGACCTCATCTTTCCAGGTAGCAGGTTGCAAGCTTATGATACTCGCTCTAAGGCCTGGACTGCAATTCCAATTCCCGGTGCCAAAGCTTGGAACGACTTCCCGCTGCCACAGGGTCTTCAAGGCCGCTACTCTTACTGTAGAGTGGATCCGTTCCGGTACGGGCACAAGCTGATGGTGCTTGGCCAGTGCGACGGGGCCATTGTATTGCTGGAGCTGGAAGAAGAAGGCGGCGGGCGTCACTGGAATCCGGTAGCGTGGGCAACCCTGGACCAGTTCCAGTTTGCAGAGGACGAGACAGTACAGTGTCCAGCATACTTGGTCGACTGGCCTCTACAAGGTGGCGATCTGCTAGTCATGCGCGCGGTGACGTGCTCGATGCTGGAAAAGCCTGTTGCTCTCCATCTCAAGCGTCATAACTGGCTGGAACTTCCAACAAGCGTGCACCACCTCAATGTCCAGGCAGTCTGCATCTACAGCCCGTAAGAACAGGGACCGAGGAAGAGGAGCATCATCTCGTTTCAAGTACTTCAGGACGCCCGCCTTCAGGAACTGTCTGCGTCTACAACCCGTAGCCTGCTAAGTAACTCTAGGCGGGAGGAAAAGAAATGCAAGCAGTCATGCTGTGTATGTATCTTTGAGAAATACCACTCTGCAGATCCATCAAGCTCCTGCGGAGCCTCCTGTCGTTGCTGTGGAACAATCTCGACAGGAACTGGAGCTGAGAGAGCTTGGAGTAGAACAAAACCGGCGATGAGCTGGGGTTTGCGACAGACAGGCTGAGCCATTCAGGAAGAACCGTCTTTGGCCGTCTGAGTGAAGCCTTGGCTGGGAAATTTCAGTCTTAGGAAGAACGCTGTGTTGCAATCAAAGACAGTGCTAGTGCCGTCAGCTCCAGCTCAACAAAATTTGTGGTATAGGGTTTGGCTATCTTCAATGATGCCCAAGAGGGATTTGGAATTGGGCATTTGTGATTAGGATCCAAGTGAGTATGGAGGATGATGGCATAGGCAATATGTAAGCTAGCGTTGAGAAATCATGAGGCAGGCTAGGCCTCACCTAAGGTGTCTACCAACATATTTAAAAGTATGATAACAACTTCCATATCTTTGTGTGTTTGGTTTGAGGCTTGCAATATCCTGTGGTGAGAGTTTCACCATTGTTTCCTTGGTGTGTCTTGTGTGCTATAGTGCATTCCAGTGCTCGAACACACCTGCTAAGGAAATCTAGTGACCCCAAAAGTTCTGTGAGTGTTGAAAGGAGGGTGAAATACCAGATTAAGTTTCCACCCTATTTGCTTTGTGTTTGAGCTCTTTAGAGTGTAAAAGTGAGCCATGATTGGGGCTGAGAGATGCCTCAATAATTAATAAATCTAACAAATTGACGTGCAAGATGGCATTGCAAACGACCTCTCCCTCCGCCTTCACGACCAGAAGATGGCATTTTCTTATCAAAGAATATGGATATTCTTTGTAAGAACATTCTATTGGAAGGGAATATTTCGCTAAGTCGTGCCTCAATGTTTTCGAAAGCGCAGGGCAAATTCTATTCAAGTTTCTTGTTTGGGCGCTTTATAAGCGCTTGCCATGGCCCAAGAGCTCTCCAAGGGTCACGGTCTCCAGGGCGAGCAATCCATGGCAGCGATGGACACCGGATTGAAGGCGCTAGGCGTTGGCAACGGCGACGGCGTGGCGGCGCCGCCCGGCGTGTTGAGGCGCCGCGCATCGCCGGCGCTCCGATCGGCATTTCCAGGAGGTAATCTGCGGGCTAGCCTGGCCAAGGATCCAGCTCCGGCCGCGGGTGAGGGCGGCCTCAACATCGCCGAGGATGTCACCCAGGTACCAATTTCTTGGATCGTGGCATTCTTGCTTGCATTATCTCATCCAATTTTTTCTTTGTTTGACTTCTTTGTCTCTAGCTGATTGGGAAGACGCCGATGGTTTATCTCAACAGCGTGGTGGAAGGATGCGTCGCGAACATCGCTGCGAAATTGGAGATCATGGAGCCTTGCTGCAGTGTCAAGGACCGAATTGGATTGAGCATGATCTCCGATGCCGAGGCCAAAGGTGCCATTTCTCCTGGAAAGGTAGAAAACAAACAAAATTTCTTGGTCTTCTCGTCCAAACTTGGTTGGCTCTCCTGTTTGTTTCCTGTAGAGCGTTCTCGTGGAGCCTACGAGTGGAAACACTGGGATTGGTCTGGCGTTCATCGCTGCGGCCAAGGGCTACAAGCTCATCCTCACCATGCCCGCATCGATGAGCATGGAACGCCGAGTTCTACTCAAGGCATTTGGAGCCGAGCTGGTTCTCACTGATCCTGCCAAAGGCATGAAGGGAGCTGTCTCAAAGGCTGAAGAGATTGTGAGCAAGACACCAAATGCGTACATGCTTCAGCAATTTGAGAACCCAGCTAATCCGAAAGTAAGATATTATCAATTCTTTTCTACCACATAACTTTCTCTTCTCTTTTGCTACAGATTCACTTTGAAACCACGGGACCAGAGGTCTGGGAAGACACCCGAGGAAAAATCGATTTTTTTGTTTCGGGGATTGGAACTGGCGGTACTGTGACTGGTGCTGGACGATATCTCAAGGACAAGAACCCGAATATCAAAGTAAGGAAGCAATCGTCTCTCTAGCTTTTGGTTTTTCATGCAAGAGTTTCAGATTGTTGGTGTGGAGCCAACTGAGAGCAACGTCTTATCCGGTGGCAAACCAGGTATTTGGTTGTCAATTCTGTGCATTTTAATCACCACCTCGTCCATTTTCTCACCTTGCAGGACCTCACAAGATTCAAGGAATGGGAGCTGGATTTATTCCCGGGATCTTGGAAGTCGGAATTCTCGACGAGGTCGTGGAGATCTCTAGCAACGACGCAGTCGAGATGGCAAAGCAGCTTGCTCTCAAGGAAGGACTGCTCGTTGGTATTTCATCTGGAGCTGCTGTTGCAGCTGCGATCCAGATTGCGAAGAGACCCGAGAATGAGAACAAGCTCATTGTGGTAAGTTGTGTACTAGTTGCCATTCTGGAGATGATATTGAGAGCGTACAATGCAGGTGATTCTTCCAAGCTTTGGCGAACGTTACCTCTCGTCGGTCTTGTTCCAGTCGATCAGAGAGGAAACGGAGAAGATGCAGCCAGAGCCGTGATTCACTCCTTGTGTGTTCTTATTTATGGAAACGATCACTTGAATAATTTCAAGACCAAGTCGCTATAGAAAACTCGACTGGAATCGAATTAACAGAGAAAAAAAGAATGAGTTTAGCCGTTTACAGTGGGTTTCTTATCTTGTGTCCAAGCAGGACTATCTGCCTGTGCTGCTACACCCGGGGACTCGCGATTCTTTTGAAGAGTCGCTGCCAAAAGCTCGCTCCTTGCGGCTTCTGTAGATAATAGAGTGGCTGCAAATGGAAAAAGGAAAGTTTAAAACCAAAGTTTGTGAGAACTTCAGCAGTGTACCTCGCTTCCTGCCGACAGTGATGATCTTCCGGAGGCAGTCACGAAACTCTTCGAGAATGAGACGCTCTTGCTCGGCAGCCAGCTCTTTGTCGTAGTCCCCGTGCGTGGCCGGGGTGAAGAGTGGATCCTGCTCGTCGCACATCAGCGCTAGTGTTCCCGGTGACATTGGTCGCTTTTCTCGGATATCTTCGTCACCCTGTCCAGAGCCAGCCTCTTGTCCATTTTCCGCAGGCCTCTTCGAGACAGGGCCAGAGGCTGCAAGCCAAAGAAAGATATAAGAACGGTGCATTGCAAGCTTGCATAAATAGTGTTACCGATCATCGCTTTAGCAGCCTCAGCGGACGCCATGACCAGAAGATTGCAAAGATCAGAAACTGTCTCTGGTTGTACTACGCCTGCCAAGAGAGAACTACGCAAGGAACGTAGGAATAAATTAATGCCAAGAGAAAAAGGAAAAGAAAAACGGCCGTACGTTTGAATGGTTTTTGCCGAAAGGGATGAGTTTGGAGGGAGCATGGAACCAGAAAGCTTTGCGTCCTGCAGCAAAACAGGTTTAAGCATTAGGATTGAAAATCTCGATACTGGCTAAGTACCGTACCTGGATTCCTTGTAACGTTCTGTAAATTGGTTGCTGCACTTTCAGACTCTCGCCAACAAAGACAAGGTCGCTTGTCCTTCTCTTCTTTGCAGGCATGGGAGAAGAAGAGACGCAGGCCAGTGAGCCCGTTGCAGAGGTTGTATAGGGAGGTGGTCCTCCGTGGTATGTACTTTGGCTGTAATCTGGCTGATATAGTGCTCTTCTCTCGTCGCTGCTGTCGTAGTTCTTGCAGTCGACACACTTGCAGTTGTCTGAGCACAAAATGTTGGCCTGAAAACATTCGCAATACTTCTTCAAGCACCCAGACTTTTTGCAGTTGCATCCTTTGTTATGTTTTCCCAATCTCATGTCGTCCTGTAAGACAACCAGTTATAAACGAATTTGAATCTATGCCCGAGGCACTTACCGCACTGTCGCGAATCGCATGTTGCGTGTTTGCAATTTTAGGCCTGAAAGCATTTGGATTTCGTTCCAAAGTTACCTCCACTGCCTCTTGTCTTACTGCCTCGTTCTCGACGTTATTGCAACAGTTAAGGCAATTGCAACCATCACAATAAGTCCCAGAGGCAAAGCACTCACAATACCTGATGTAAAAAAGGAAAACTCTTTCAGTACTTGTACAAGCGACGAAAAACAATAGATGAACTTACAGCTTCAAGCACCGAGTGTTTTTACAATTGCACTGCTTGCACTTCTTGGCCGCAACTTCTTTGAGCTCGTAGACCGGCGGCCTTGGTAGTCTATAAGAACTAGGATCAGCCATCGTCTTAAAACTAGAAGGCAAAATGCTCTTACATGGAGGAAAAGTTGAGCTGCCGAACTGGCTTACGACCAGGTTCTCCAGGTTGAGCAGGCGGGACTTGTGACGACGGTAACGCCTGCGATGTTCTTGACAATCTATCCAAGAAGGAAAAAGAAAAATAAAACCAGAAAACTCAAGAATGAAACTAAGAAGCCCAACAGACTATGTACCTCGAGCTCGAGTAGAGTGGAAGCTTTCCCGGGCCTTGCATAGTAACGAGGCTGCTACCATTCATATCAAGGTGCGCTGGGATCACTGTTCTCCCAAGACAAAGAACCAGTGAAAAGAAAACACAAAGCAAAAGGGACTTACCAGGTTTCTCATCCTTGTCAAACTGGTCGGCCTTAATCCCATTTAGCTGCATGGTCGCCCTCTAAAATGGTCGGCTCTATCGTTTCTTTGCGCCCACTATTCCCCCGCTCCTGCCCCTAATGCGTCTAAAAAGCTTGGAATCTCCACACGAAGAAAAAGGCGGCTATTCGAAAATCCCAAAACCCTCTGCTAGATCCAGCCCCGGCGCCCCAGCTCCACCGATGCTGCGAGCGGGAATCTTAACCTAGGATGGGACAGGGGCGATCGAGGGTTTTGGAGCCCCGGCGCCAAAAACCTGGCGCTCCCCCGGCCAAAAGCCTTTTCCTCACCTCGCGCGGCGCATCCAGCCTCACGGCGCCTCCATCGCCTGGATCCTCGCGGCGTCCCTCCTAAGGGCGCGCCCCAGCGCCATTCCTTTCCTCTCCGGCACACACAACAAAGGGCAATGACAGGAGATTCAAATTTTCAAAAAAATTCTTCCACGGATCTCAAAGACGCCTCAAATCCGATTAATGGCTCCAGTGTACGCTCCGGATATTCGCGTTTGTATCATGGGCGGCGTGGCGGCATCACGGCCGTCGGATATGGGTGTGGCATATTCTTGTTTCTTCTAGGGTTTGGGGCTCGTGTGGAAGCGCCAGGGGCGGGATTTCAGCTGAAGAGCCCTCTCCTCGCAGAATGCGTGCGATCGATTAGCTAGTTCTTGGGCGATCCACAGCGAGGAGGCGATGGATCAGCAGCAGGAGCAGCAATCCGCGAGGAGGACCGAATTTCTCCATTACAAGCTCGGGAAGACGCTGGGAATTGGCTCGTTTGGCAAGGTGAAGATCGGGGAGCATGTACTCACAGGCCACAAGGTTGCTATCAAGATTCTTAATCGGAGGAAGATTAGAGCCATGGACATGGAAGAGAAAGGTATGAGAAAAAAATAGTTTTTTTCTCATTTCCTGTGTTTCAATCGATGCAGTGCGCAGAGAAATCAAGATATTGAGGCTGTTCATGCATCCTCACATCATCAGGCTGTATGAAGTTGTGGAGACGAGCACCGACATTTTCGTGGTGATGGAGTTTGTCAAGTCGGGGGAGCTCTTCGACTACATTGTTGAGAATGGTCGACTCCAGGAAGACGAAGCTCGTTGTTTCTTCCAGCAGGTACGAGAAAAAAATGTCTCGTTTTTTTCTTGGCATTGAGTGTGTGTTTATGGATCGTGTTTTTGACATGCTAGTCTTGCTGGTGGTATAGATTATCTCGGGTGTTGAGTACTGTCATAGAAACATGGTCGTTCATCGTGACCTCAAGCCGGAGAATTTGCTTCTCGGCTCCAAATGCAGTGTCAAGATCGCGGATTTTGGCCTGAGCAACATTATGCGAGACGGTCACTTTCTGAAAACAAGCTGTGGAAGTCCGAACTATGCTGCTCCAGAGGTCAGTATATCAGGATAAGTTTTGTCATAGGCTCGTCATTCTAAGTTGTCTTTCTCAATCACAGGTGATTTCCGGTAAGCTCTATGCTGGACCAGAAGTAGACGTATGGAGCTGTGGGGTGATACTATACGCACTTCTCTGTGGCAGCCTTCCCTTTGACGACGAAAACATTCCAAATCTATTCAAGAAAATCAAGGTGAATCAGTCAGACAACAAGAAGTCTTAAATGTTTTTTTTTTCTTGTTTATTCCCAGGGTGGCATCTACACACTTCCAAGTCATCTCTCTTCTGGTGCGAAAGACTTAATCCCGCGAATGTTACTGGTTGATCCGATGAAGCGGATGACAGTTGCGGAGATTCGTGAACACCCGTGGTTTCAAGTTAATCTTCCTCGGTATCTTGCCGTCCCACCCTTGGACTCGGCCGAACAAGCCAAGCGGGTAAAGTTGCCACTTGTGTGTAAAGATTGAAAGCACCTGCACTTGGTGTCGCACAGATTGATGAAGATATCGCAAATGAAGTTGCGAGACTGGGATTTGAAAAGGGCCAACTTATAGATTCTCTTCGCAACCGAGTGCAAAATCCAGTGAGTACATGCTATATTTTTTTGTGTGCGCATGGATTCTAATATTTCCTTCGACTTCCCAGGCAACTGTTACGTATTATCTCATGCTGGACAATAGAAAGCGCACTGGAGGCAATGGCAACGAGCTTTCGGAAGTTCAGGTAAGTCGCAGTCGTGTAAAAAATGGATATCACCAAGCACGTTGCTGGAACATAGGATGTGGCGAGAGCGTTCCCGCAGTCTTTTGCCCCTCAATCCCGGCAAATGAGCCGTGTGCATTCTACTACTTCACCTTTGCTCGAAGTTCCACGTCTTCAAGCCGAGAGACGCTGGGCTCTGGGATTGCAGGTAATCTTTTCTCTCGAATGTCCATTGATTTTATTTCATTTCCTTGGTGGACAGTCTCGAGCGCATCCGAGAGAGATAATGAACGAGGTACTTAAGGTATTGCAAGAACTGGACGTAAGCTGGAAGAAGCTCGGTCACTACAACGTAAAGTGCCGGTGGACGTTTGCTCCACCATCGAAAGCTCCCTGCAGCTTGCCTGGATCTCCAATGATCTCAGAGCCATTGCACGAGCGCATTGCTGTCGCTGCTGCTACTGCTGCTGCGGACATTGTGGAACAGGGTCGACGAAATCTTGTCAAGTTCGAGGTCCAAGTAAGTGAAAGTCTTGTTGGAGTTCGATGCTAACTTGGACTGGTATCTCGTAGCTTTATAAGATGCACGAAGAGAAATACCTGCTGGATCTGCAAAAGCTCGAGGGCCCGTTCTTCACATTTCTGGATTTCTGCACCATGTTCTTAGCAGAGCTACGGGTTCTCTAAAATGATATGTGATGATTCCCGTCCCATACAATCAACGGCAGTGCGCCGAGGTAAGCGACTTTGAGTTGATCTTACCAGCTTCTTACTCCGATCTCTCAGATTATCACCGTGCTCTTGCGCTACCACAGATTTCTTTGCCTCGAAAGTGTGAGCCTCAGTACGAAAAAATCGACCTTTTCCTCGTCTGCTTCTTCAAGAATCCAAAGCTTCGTGCTAAATTGGAGCACATATATCCACACTCTCTTACCTGGTAGTTTTTTTCACTGATCAAATCGCTCTAGCAATCCTTAAATCTTGCTCATCGAGAAAAAACCAAGTGTCTAGGATATTCTGTGTTTACATCCAACGGCTCACATTAATTTCGTGTGGGAGAATTAGGGCTTGTGAGCAAATGCATCCTCCACTCGTTCTTCACAAGCATCCGCTCTGCACCGAGGTGAGCGATACATGAATCGATTCGATCAGCCCATAGGGTTTTTCTTCCTCAGATCATCACATTGTTCCTGCGCTGCCACGAGGATCACCCTGCGGCCAAGTTTTGGGGGAAATGCAACGATCTCAAGCTCGAGCTGGTGCGCTGCTTGCAAGAAGAGGTTTGTGTCTTTAATTTTTTGACGCTCGAATGGCCTGCCATGGTTTCCAATTTGGTTCTGGTAGAAAGCCGTCAAGCGGAAGAAGAACTTTGAGAAGAGCAAGGAGTTTCAGGCAAAGCTACACGCATACTTGGAGGATTTAAGATCGAGGTAGGAGAATCTCACAGAAATTTGGAAAGAAATTTTTGGAAGCTCCAGGCTTTTGTGATCTTGTTTGTGATAAACTATGCGTAGCGCACGGCAATTGGGCTTCTCACTGTGTGCCTCTCATCCTTCCATGTAAAGGAGCCAAATATATATCCGCGATGGAGCTTGCTCTTCGCCACCTTCGTCTTGAGCCTCAGATCCACTAGAAACGATTGGGATTGCCCTTTGCGAGTGAACTCCAAAACTTGTGGAGTAATCGTGACGGCAATCCCCGGAGGAGGATCGATGGTCACGCGATACGTTGCTCGATCGTCTCCGACATTTGTCACAGTCCTCTTCACGGTGTACTTCGTGTGGAACCGGGAGACTCCTACCGACGGAAAGTTGAGGTTGCTCAGGATCTTGTTGGCGCCAAAAGCTTTCACTGGGATTTGGTTGTAGTCAAGATCGTAGATCAGACCCGGATGTGCTGCCGCGTTTGGATTGATATGACCGCTTCCAAAATCATTTGGTGTTCCATTCACGAGCCCATTACCAATATAAGCTGGGATATACAAAATGATAAGAATCTATCTTAGTGATTGATTGAAAGTACCACCTTACCTGTTGTTAATATTGCAGATTTAATTGCAGCAGGGCTCCAATCTTGGTGGTATGATTTTAAGAGTGCAGCCACAGCAGCAACATGAGGGCATGACATTGAAGTTCCAGACTGGAAGTTGAAATTTCCACGTCCTCTGCCTTCACCCAAATCCACATTTGGAGGCCATGCTGCTAAAATATCAACACCAGGTGCTGTGATGTCCGGCTGCAAATCACCAGTTTTTTTATTATTAGAGAAAAAGTAATATCTGATTACCTTGATAATATCTGGATAAACCTTGCTAGGGCCTCTAGATGAAAAGTCAGGCATGGCGGGAGCATCTTTGGCACCATAATTTGTATCTGATCCAGAAATATATGCTCGTGGATTACTAGAAAACAAAAACATAAAAGTTAGAAATCACAGTTTTAAATTGTACTAATATCAAACCTTGACGAATTCATATACGAAAATACTGCGAGAGCATCCTTTGCTGAGATGTGTATAGAGGGCACGTAATGCCAATAATCCATCAGCTCTTGCTCGTCTTTAACATCTTCATACAAGATCATGCCGGCACCACCAGCATCCCTCACCTCAGTGCTTTGAGCAAGGGTATCTTTACCACGCTTTCGCATGCACAGGACAATTTTTCCCTGGACCTTCTCACGGTCCAAAGAATAATCCATGCAGTACAAGCTGAAACAAGAGACACTTATTAACACTTTGCAGGATTAATTTGATAATGAAATTTTCAAACCTGTCTTGTGTGGTAGACTCTGGTGCGTTTACTTCATAACCCGGAACCAGTGGAAGAAAGCTCTCTGTACCAATGGAAAGTCTGGATTTACCCTAGACACAGAAAGAGTTAGCAAACAAAGCAGCCATGGACACAAAAGAGAAACAAACCGTGAAAGTCGTGCCATTGCCTAAAGATAATCGAGCTGATCCCCATCGATCCATACTACTAGCACCAACTGTGATGAGCCATGGGTCACTATTGCCCATTCCTTTGACGCCTTCGTTTCCAGCAGAAGCCACAACGGTGACACCTTTCTTGACCGCGGAAAGAGCAGCAAGAGCTACCACGTCATTAGCATATTCCTCACCTCCATTAGAAATTGATATAACGTCCACTCCATCGTGCACTGCTTGATCCATCGCAGCAATCAAATCACTCTCATGGCAATACCCATCGTCTCCCCCCCAGCAAGCTTTGTATGCTGCAACCCTCGCCCCTGGAACTCCTCCTGCAGCAGTTCCCTGGGCAAATCTCCCCACAACTGTGGCGTTTTGGACCAATCTGCCTGCGAGAGTGGAAGCTGTGTGTGTCCCATGGCCGTCGTCATCTCTTGCAGATAAGATTCCTGGAACCTTCTTCTCTTTCTTTGACAACCCCTCCAAATACCCTCTCAAATGGTAGCGTGCTCCAATCAACTTCCTGTATATATTTGAGAGATTTGTTATCAGCAAACTTTGTTACTACGATACTTGCCTGTTGCAGTGTGAAGAGTTGAAGGCATCTCCTTCTTGACATATCCCTCGCCACTTACTGGGGATTTCGCCCATACCATCGTCGTTAAAGCTTGGAGATTCTGGCCAAACCCCTGTGTCTAATATCCCAACTATCACATTTTTTCCATATTCTCCTAGTTCCCATAGAGGTTTGCTGCTAGAAAATAGAGGCATATTTGTACTTCCACTCACCCCCATGTAATCCCAAGAGCGAGTAGTGTGAAGCTTACGGACGCGATTTTCATGAATAGACACAACATCAGGAAGCTCTGCATTTAAAAGAGACAAAATAAAAATATAAGATTTAATAGAAGTGATATTGTTACCAGACATGTGTTTTGCTTGCTTGGTGGTAAGCCTGACAGCAAATCCATCAATAGTGTGTTTGTAACTGTAAATAATATGATCTCTCGCTTCATAACTTGGTCTGTAAAAAAATTAAAAAGAAATAATTTACTAACAAAGATAAACAAATTCGTACTTGTTTAGAACTGTGGCAAGCAATGAATTATGTGTGTCGGTAATAGCATCTGGATGTTTTGTTCCATCAGTATGGCCCAAATGTACGATATAAACGCGACTATCCTCAACCTACAAATCAATGTATAAGATAATGAACATGTAAGGAAATTTCTTACAGCAATAACCGTTGACAAAGCTAGGAACCCAAATAAGATGAAGAGAGACGTCATTTTTCCACCAAAACCCTCACATCAAGCTCTCTTTTAAAACAATGCCACAAGTTATATAAGGTTTAAGAAAAGATTTACAACTAATTATATTGGATACGATATGATCCTAGTATTTTGAGAATAAGCCTTTAAAAGAGATAATAGCAAATTTTTTGACTTTGGACACTCTCCCGCTCTTCCCTATCAGAAACCGAGCGCTGCCTATCCTTCTAGGAGATCGTAGGAGATACTGTCTCGCAGAGGTGTTTCTTGAGTTTCTGTGGGTTTGATAATAGTACCATTGGACGTAAGCTCATGAAGAATCTTTTTCTTGAATGTGTCATCATGAGAGGCTTTTGTGATCGTCGAATCCTTTAGGACGGCCTCTTTCCATTCAGCTATAGCTTGCGTAGTGAAATCCCATTTCAGGAAGTTCGTGCCAAATTTGCAGCGGAGAAGAACAAGCATCCTCTTGCAAACCAAGGCGTTTGCTCATCGTCTTCCAAATACGGACATTTCCTTGCATTACTGTAATAGATCTTCGCAAAGTTGATCCTCCGAGGGCGTGCGCTTTCTTTGATTCTTGTTTTAAAAGATCCTTCTGCCTTTACTATTGCGATTGTTGGCAAGATTATTCCAGAGAAAGTCGTGCCGCTGATTCTACAGTATCTGGTACGTAGTTCATTATGAGCACCATTTTTTATGCTTAATTTTGTAGGGTGGTATCCCGAGTCCTTCTGAGCCTGTTATGAAGTACAATCGAGACGAATTGCAAGGCTCTAAGGTTGCCTTATGTGTAATCATACCTCACGATTGGATCTTTACAGTCTGGAGAGAAGATTTTGATGCGCCATCACTATGATCATATGATGATCATGTGTTAAAATTTATTTCGATTCGACTCTTTTAAACATATGTAGAAGTCATAGAAATCCGCTTCTAACCCGTATAAATATGTCAGAATCTTCACATAGAGTGGAGCAGGATCATTTTGCTGTACTCCTCCGGCAGTGTGGAACTTCAAAAAAATTGAGTGAGGGTAGAAGAGTTCATGCCCAAATCCTGGAGAGTGTGCATAGGCACAACAGGTATTTGGCGAATCTGGTGGTGGAGATGTATGGGAGATGTGGAAGTGTCGAGGACTCGAAAGCAGCATTCGATCGAATTCCTCAGCCCAATCTCTTCTCGTGGAACATCATGATCCAAGTGTATACCCGCAATGGCTATCTTCAACAAGCGCTAGAGACTTTCACGCAAATGCCAGTTCAAAACACAATTGCTTGGAATTCGATGATTTCTGCCTATGCAGACAATGGAAATTTGATCCAAGCTCAAGAAATATTTGAAAAAATGAAGAACAGAAACGATGTCTCCTGGACGATTATCATCACAGCATATGCCTCAACTGGGCATTTTGAAAAGGCAAATAATCTCTTTCAGCAGATGGCAGAGGTGACTGTGGTATCATGCACCGCAATGATCCAGGCTTATATACTTAATGACCATCTTAACAAGGCAAAGGTTTTGTTTGATAAAATGCAAGAAAAAAATATCTTAACTTTTACCACCATGCTTGTTGCATATGCCGAAACTAAGTATTTGGAACAGGCAAAGCTTATTTTTTATGCAATGCCATACAGAGATGTGGTTACCTGGACAGCCATGATTGACGCCTATGCGCAAAATGGAAACCTTACTGAAGCAAAAAAAATGTTTGAGAGTGCACCAGTTTGGAACGTCATAACTTGGACCGCAATTCTCACAGCAAGTACCAAATCAGGGCATTTAGATGCTGCAGAAGAGATGTTTAAGAGTATGCCGGAAAAGAATAATGTATCATGGAATGCTATGTTAGCGTCTTATGTCACAGTTTCAAACATTAGAAAAGCAAAAGGGATATTTGACATGATGCCTGAACCCGATGTAGTTGCACGTACAAGCATGATTCAAGCTTATGCCGATGCAGGAGATCTTGATTCAGCAAAGATTATTTTCGACCAAATAGAAGATCCAACATTTGTAACTTGGACTGTAATGTTACAAGCTTACGCAAGAAATATGTTGTTAGAGCAAGCAAGAATTATGTTTGAAAAGATGCCTTTCAGAGACACTGGTGCTTGGAATTCCATGATTGCGGCATATGCCCATTGTGGGCACATCAATGAATCTCAAAAGCTCTTTAACCAAATGCCAAGGTGGGATTTGGTGACATGGAATATCATTGTTGCCGGTTTGGGACGCAATGGGAACTTTGAAGAAGCACTCTCTATGTTCTATGAAATGCCAGAAAGGGATACCATTTCATGGAACGTATTGCTGACAATTTTTGTCCAAGCCGGTGCCTTGGCAAAAGCAGAAAAAACATTTGCCACGATGTTTGATCATGATCTTGTCTCTTGGAACGCAATGCTCGCAGCATATGCCCAGAATGGCCACCCAAGAAAAGCTGTAGAGGTGTTTCTCGAGCTCAACTTGCGTGGCGCAATCCCAGACAGTGTCGCATTTTTGAGCCTTCTCACGGTTTGCAACCATTTGGGTCTCATAACCCGAAGCATCCAACTCTTCTCCTCGATGCACCACGACTTTGGAGTGATCCAATCTCAAGAACACTATGCCTGCATTGTAGATGTCATTGGGCGATGCGGGGAGCTCCAAAATGCCAAGGATGTGATCCACTCTATGCCTTGCAAGCCAAATCTCGAGGCATGGGGTGCCATGCTTGGAGCTTCCACTGTCCAACGCGATTCACTCTTGGGTGGCTGCGCAGCCACTAAAGTTCTCGAGTTTGACACCTCCCAAGCAACCTCTTATGTGATGCTCTCCAATGCTTTACAAGTTTAAATACTTTTTCGTACGAATATTCTATTTCATACGTGGCGCATATGTGGCAGCCACATTGGATGGGATGACACGTCACTATTAGGGCTATTGTGAGAATGCGATGAAATATTCGTCGTGGCCAGTGGTGAAGCTCGCGATCGGCAATGAGGAGATCGCCATGGAGCAGGACAATGGATCGATGCACGTCGGGACGACGGTGTGGCCGTGCTCGCTAGTGCTGGCGAAATGGGCGGAGCGGCAGGGCGGGATTCGCGAGAGGATCCAGGGCAAGCGGGGGATTGAGCTCGGGGCTGGGTGTGGCGGCGCTGGCCTGGCGTTGGCGTTGCTGGGCCTCGGCCAGGTGCTGCTCACGGATGTGCCGCCGGTTCTCTCCACGCTCAAGAGGAATGTGAAGAAGAATGTCCTTGCGACATCGCTCTCCTCCAAGAAGAAAGTAAAGGTATGAGCGATCGATCGATAGCATTTTTTCCTCTCACTTGTAATCTAGATGGATCACACACTTCTTTCCTTCGTTCTTCGCTCTCTCTAGTGATCTTTCATTTCTACTTTTCTTTGTTTTCGTTGTCTTTGCTCGTGGCTTCGTTCTAACACATATTTTGTTGTCTTTTTTCTTGAGAAGGTGGCACAGCTTAACTGGGGAAACAAGCAACAAATCGAGAGCTTGAAGCCTCCATTCGACGTGGTGATCGCGGCGGATGTGGTATATATCGAGAATGGAGTGGAGCCTTTGCTACAAACGATGAGCGATGTCTCTGGGCCGGACAGTTTGATTCTTTTGGGATACCAGGTGAGATCACCTGAGGCTCACGAGTTGTTTTGGAGGCTTTGTCCAGAGAGATTCGCCGTCGAAAAAGTCGATCGTTCCCAGCTCCATCCCGACTACGCTTTTGAGGAGGCTGATGTTTACATTCTCAAGAAGAAATGCTAGAGACGCGTAAAGGTTGGAGTTCTTTACTAGCAAACTCCTCATGGTTTACTGACGAATTTTTTTTTAATTTCTTGACCCAGGAAGATGATGAACGCTGCCAACTTGGCGTTGATCAATCCCGTCGCGTTGATAGATTCGTGCACAAGCCTTTCGATGACACGCCAGGCTCGCTCTCGATTACGCCACCTTCTAAGCAGTGACACGCACCTTTCGAACAAGCTCCTCCAGAAATATGCCAAGCTCGGCAGCATTGAACAAGCCTGGGAGTTCTTCCAAACGATCACTTGCAAGGACGTTTGCTCTTGGGTGGTGATGCTGTCGACTTATGCCCAGACGGGGCAGCTGCTACAAGCGAAGCAGATCTTTGACGCCATGGAACAGTGGGACTTGTATGCCTGGACGGCAATGCTCACAGCTTATTCTCGCAACGGGCATCTGGACGAAGCAAAGCAAGTGTTTGATTCCATGCAAGAGAGAAACATGGTTTCCTGGAACGCCATTCTCGCGGCTTATGCTCAGCGGGGACTTGTCGACGAGGCCAAGAACATCTTCGATTCAATGCCAGAGAGGAACTTGATTTCCTGGACGAGCATGGTGGTGACTTACGCGAAGAAGAACTGCATCGACGAAGCTAGAGCTTGCTTCATCCAGATGCCGGAGCGAGATTTAGTTTCCTGGTCGGCGATGCTCGCTGCAAACACCGAGAACGAATATCTGGAAGAAGCAGAGAAGCTGTTTCACGGTGTTCCGGAAAGAGATATCGTTTCGTGCTCGACGATGCTATCGGGCTACGTCCGGCACGGCCGACTCAACGACGCGAGAACCGTCTTCGATGAGATGGAAGAGACCAACATCGTTTCCTGGACGTCGCTGCTCTCGGCCTATGCTTCCAAGGGAGATCTCGAGCAGGCAAGGATCCTGTTGGATCGGTTTCCAGAGTGGGATCTCTTCTCCTGGAACGTTCTTCTCTCCGCGTATGTTCGTCACGGAAGGTTGGAGCTCGCAAAAGAGTTCTTTGATGGGATGGAGAGGAAGGATCTCGTCTCCTGGACAGCGATTCTCTGCGCTTACGCTCTCGACGGCTATGTTGACGAAGCAAGACAGGTTTTTGAAACGATGCCAGAGAGAAACATGGTGTCTTGGAACTCTATGCTCGTCGCTTATGCCAAGAACGGGCATCTCGAGCGAGTGAGGAGCCTGTTTGACACGGCCGAAGAGCACGACTTGGTCTCGTGGAACGTTGTTCTCGCTTCCTACGCCCAGAACGGGCATCCCGATCGAGCACTCGAGAGTTTTGGATGGATGAGGTGCTGCTGGCAGTGCTCTCCCGACGAGACGACCTTCGTCAGTGTCCTGGTGGCTTGCAGCTATGGTGGAGACGCTTACACTGGCCGATCCCTGTTTCGTTCGATGCGAGTCGACCACGGTCTGGATGCTACCAAGTTCCACTACTGCTGCTTGGTCGATCTCATCGCTCGAGCCGGGTTCCTGGGCGATGCCGCGGAGCTGATCGAGAGCATGCCTTTCGAGCCAGACGCGATGGAGTGGACGTGCTTGGCGGCCGCTGCTTGCAAGGCTCACAAGAACAGGGATCTGGCATCGCTCGCGATCGAGAAGCTGTTTGAGCTGCGCAGCTCCAAGGATGCTGGAGCTTACGTACACTTGTTCTCGAGTGGTAGCTGGGTGTTCCACAGCAAGTTTCCACGATCTCGGGAGCTGCGAGAATCATCCAGACCGTGCGATAACTTACGTTGACCACTATTGGACTAGAGTTGACTGTTCTAGTCAAAGCTCTAGATTTTTTTTGATACCGTGTGCTCGGGAACAGTACTTTCCAATGATGCAAAGCCAGTGAGAAATCTATATCTCTGGACAGTTCTAGCTAGAGTGTGTTCTTCCAGATTCACCAAAAATTTGTGTTCTTCCAAGCTATGGATCTTGCAACTTTGTGTGCCTTGATGCTGGTCGCTTTGATGCCCCTCTTGTACTTCGCTGGCTCTAGAAGAGGAAGAAGACGCGATGGAGATCGTCTCCCTCCCGGCCCCTTCAATCTCCCCGTCATTGGCAGCCTCCACAGGCTCGGCTCGCTCCCTCACATCTCCCTTCAAAAGCTCTCTCGCAAGCACGGCGACGTCATGCACCTGAAGCTCGGCAGGGCCTCCGCCGTGATCATCAGCTCCGCGCGAGCAGCCAGCGAGATATTCAAGCTCCACAGCCTCCAGTGTTCGTCGAAACCTTCGCTGATCTGTAGCAAGTACTTTGGCAACGATTCCAGCGGCATAATCTTCAGTTCCTACACTCCACAGGTGAAGCTCTACAGGAAACTCATCAACACTCACTTGCTATCGCCGGCGCGGCTGAGGATCTGCGATGGGATTCGCCGGGAAGAGCAGCACCGCCTCGCTCGATCCATCCGCGACGAGCAGGGAAATCCGGTGCTCCTGCGCGAAAAGTTCCACGACTTCAACATGAACATCATAGCTTACAGGCTCTTCGGCGAGCGCTCCTTCTGTGGATCCAGCCAGGAATTCGTGCGAGCCATCGTCGAGACAATAAGGTTGGTCGGGATCTTCAACGTGAGCGATTACATCCCCTGGCTACGGTGGCTGGACGTCCAGGGCCTGGAGAAGCAGTACAAGCAGCTCACGGACAAGCTGAATCGCCACCTCTTCTCCATCTTGCGAGACCGGCGAGAGAATCCTCGGGTTGTCACCACCGACGAGGAGCCCATGGCGTTCATCGACGTGCTCATCTCCATGGACGAGCTCTCGGACACGACCAAGATCACGCTTTTGCTCGTAAGTGTTCTCCTCCTCTTGGATTTCTCCTCCCTGACGCTAGATCACGCAGGATATCTTGCTTGGCGCAGTTGATAGCTCGGCTCTCTCGGTAGAATGGGCCATGGCGGAACTTCTCCGCCATCCAGCCGAGCTCTCGAGAGCTCGACGCGAGATCGACGACGTTGTCGGGTCGCAAAGGCTTGTGGAGGACTCGGACCTGCCCAAGCTTCCATACGTGGAGGCCATAGCCAAGGAGACACTGAGGCTCCACCAAGTGACGCCGCTCATCAATCCCAAGCTCGTCGAAGGAGGGCCGATCAAGCTCGGTGGCTTCACGATCCCAGCCGGGGCCTTGGTCTACCTGAGCAGCTACTCGATCGGGATGGACGGGAAGTTCTGGAAAGAGCCTCTGGAGTTCCGGCCACAGCGATTCATCGAGCAGGACATCGACGTGTTTGGCCAAAACTTCCACTTCGTTCCATTTGGAACTGGGAGGAGAGTCTGCCCCGGCGCCAAGCTCGGCCTTGATACTGTCCGGATTGGAGTGGCGATGCTTGTCCAAGGATTTGACTGGGAGCTCGACCAAGATCCTGCAAAGATGGATATGGCTGAGACTTTTGGATTGGTGTGCCAAAAGACTCAACCTCTGGTGGCGATTCCCCGTCCAAGGCTAGATTCTCACGTCTACTAGCGCCAGAATCCACGACCTTGCCTCCATCCTCCTGTGGATCATCCTAGATTGCTAGTTCGCACCTACATTTTGTGGATCGTCCTAGATCGCTGTGGAAGCCGCGGATGAAGGCGCTGACGAGAGAAGATCGCTGCTGGAAATCCTTGCCTCTCAAAAACCCTAAGATCGAAGCCGCGCAAGCCGCAAAGGTCGTGGACGGCGATGTGAACTCGCAGCCACTGAGATACACCGATTGGAGCTCAGGAGAAATCGCGCAAATATATTTTAGGGTTTATAAGCCCAGTTTTCGTCAAGAATATTCCAGGGACAATTCTATTTTGCTAAAAGGTAAAGATTCATCTAAGCCTTTCTACTTTTTAACTTTTAACTTTTTACCATTAAAACTCTCAGAGGTATCGAACTCTCCAGCAAATCCACGAAGGGCATGGCGTGCTGGAGCCTCTTCTCCTCCCTGGAGTCTCGGAGCCACCATCACATTGCCTTGTCTTCTCCCGAAAAGCTTGGATTGGAAGCGCTCAAGCTGGGTCCTCCAAGCTTTGCATCGCGGAGGAGGAAGCGGCAGCGGCAGCACGGGAGAATCGCGGCAGCGGTCGACGTCCCTGGCGATCTCGCGAGATCAGAGCCACGGGCAAGGTTAGTCGGGCGAGCGAGCGAGAGTTACCTTCTCGAGGAGACCCATCGCCCTCTAGGTACTCGGCGAAGAATGTCCATGCCTGACAAGCCTCTCATCTTTCTTTCCTTCTTGTTCTTCGTTCTTCCCAGCCGAGTATATGAGTCTTCCTGCAAGCCAGTACTCGGTGTTAGATGCGCAGCGTATCGAGAGAGTGGACGACAATACCTTCAAGTGCTACGTCCACAAGCTCAAGTTCTTCGCCTTCGAAGTTTGTCCGGTGCTCGTTGTCACCGTCGAAGAACAGCCCGATGGTTGCATCATCAAGCTCTTGTCATGCACTGTAAGTAGACTCTCTGCTGCTCCCCACGGTCGAATTCTAAACACCCCGATCCTCATCAGCTCGAAGGTTCTCCAATAGTAGTCGCGCAGAACCAAAAGTTCTCAGGTATGATGGTAGCATCTTCGTTATTTCTTCCCGGCCCTGTCAGTAACTCTCGGCTGTGCTCCAGCGTCCATGGAGAATAGAGTGTCGTGGAAGAACAGCGGCAGATCACCGAAGTCCCGGAAGCTCATCTCGGATGCAACCATCGAGGTAAAGTTGCTCGCTGCAAGTCCCGGCTTGATAATATATCCTCGCAGGTGACGATAGAGGTGCCTTTTGCCTTTCGAGCTATTCCAGTCCAAGCGATAGAATCGACCGGGAACCAAGTGCTCGGCCAAGTCCTGCGCGTCATGCTTCCTCGATTTTTGAGCCAGGTGCTGTCCAGATTCTCTCATCTTCGTAAAACATCATTTGTGTTTGATGCCTTGCAGCTTGAAAAGGACTACCGTGCGTGGGCCTCGGGGGACAGCTCCAGACGTCCACTCGGGACGGGCCAGCTCTAGCTCCCTGTACAGCTCTCTTCTCCTTGAAATCTTATCGGCAGCCGCTTGTATGATGATCACTTCAGCCAAGGCAAGCTGGTTTGCTCGGTTTTGTAGACCTCGGCCATTCGTCTCAATAAGAACTTGCATAACCGCAGCTACGAGGAGGTCCGTTTGACGTCGCTAAGAGAAGAAAAGTACTCCTGGATTTGAACAAAAGAGTCAGGACCAGCCGGCAAAAGAGAGACGGATATAGTTACCAGTAGTCGTAGTATCACCGCAGCAATCGCTATGGTTCTAACACGAAGGCCTTGATAGCCAGCCGCCTGGCTTCAACGTGACCAACGCAGGGAAGGCGCCTGAACCTCGACTTTATGTCCGGAGACGGTCCTTTCCCAGCTTCTACATAGACATTAAGGAGCAGCTTGTGGAAGTTGTCATCCGTCCAGCCTCTATACCTCCGCACCATTTGCTCGGCAGTCGTCACGTCTTTCTCCGCTGCTAGATATGGAAGCAATCCCGTGACAGCGGCATAAGATGGCACTGCTCGCTCTTCGGTCACCACTTTCAACGCCAATCTCATCCGTCTGGGGGTCCTTCCTGGCCAAGTACCTGGTGAAGAGATAGTTGTAAATCCCGAAAGATGGTGTCAGCTCGTATCTATCGGCAAGGCCCAGCATTTCCTCCACTCTCTTCATGTTTCCTTGCTTGGCGAAGTGACGAGCCAGTGCTTGTAAGAGCCGAGCCTGGACGTTTGTGGTCAGCTTTGGTCACTTATCCCAGTAGCGCGAGAGACTCAATTGCCATGACGAAGAAACCTTCTGGGAGCTTGGTCCATTTGCTGCCACACTTCTTCCACTTTGTCCAACAACACAAAAAACTTGTCAGAACAACAGATGTTCGTTCAAGAATCAAGTACTTACTTTCAGTCGACGCAGTCTGTCGCTCACTCCCACATGCTGTACCAAGATAGGAGAGACCAAGAGCGAGCATGTGGCTCCCAAAACCCTAGAATGAATGAACAAGGTTGTGAGGATTCAAAAACAAAACTATCTCCATGAGTGCACACAATAGGATCTTGGACACTCTTGAATGGACTTCTTCTTCCTCGATTACTACAAGTTTTTCAGTGGATAGATTGGACATACAATTGAAGAAGATGGAAATGTCAAAACTCCAGCAGAAGATTTGTGTTTTATTCGATGATTCACAGTCATGCTCACACTATTCCAGAGTTCAAGTATATCACTGACACTTTCTACCTTTTGTTTAATTAGTACGCAATGAAGTTGGGGATCAAAGTGTTTAAAATCTACGGTAAAAACAAGTTGGTGGATGAAAACACAAATCTTCGTCCACTTCCCCTCCACAAACTCATAAGTGACACTTGCATCTTCATCCACCAACTTATTCTTGCCACAGATCTCAAATACTTTGATCCCCAACTTCGTCGCGTACCAGTTAAACAAAGGGTAGAAAGTGTCAGTGATATACTTGAACTCCGGAATAATGTGAGCATGACCCTGAATATCAAACAAGACACGAATCTTCTGCTAGAGCTCTGACATCTCTTATCTTTTTCAACTGTATGTTCGATCTATCCACTGAGAAGGTTGCAGTAGTCAAGGAAGATGAAGCCCATTCAAGAATGTCCAAAATCCCCATTGTGTGGACTCTAGCTTATGGCAGCTTTGTCATAGGAGCTGTATGGCTTCAACTTCCTAAGCCCTGTAGACTTGCAATCCACCAGCTCGTCAAGAACTTCTGTATGGCTTCCTTTGTGAAGTAAGAAAAGAAGCTTGCCACAACGTCCAAATCTCAGCAGCTGTAGTGAACTGATTGATCCCCAGTACCTCGTAGAGTCTAGGCTTTGAATATCCTATCCAATCCTCTAGCACTTGGAGATGAGGTTGAATCTCATTTAGCACTTGGAGACGAGGTTGAATCTCATTCACCTATTTTTGCAGTGAATCCAGGCAAACAACGAGGCTTTGGAACTTTCCTCCGGCCTCCTGCTGTGCTATGAAGTGACCTGGCAGCTGTTGCTTGGTAAGACCCTAGAGAGCATCCCATATATACTGCTTCACATCCATCAGCTGCATCGCAGATGCTTTCTTATCCACTTATCCACTATCTGACCTGATAGATGCAAAGAGCCGTCTGAAAGTAGCAACACCTGCTCGTCAAGGGTCTTGCTTGCCGATGTTTGCTGGTGCCTCGACACTTTTTTCTGCTGGCGCCTCGATTCTTGGAGCCTTGTCTGCCACTGGCGCCTCGATTCTTGGAGCCTTGCCTACCGCTGGCGCCTCGATTCTTGGCCTCTTTCCACCAGCCTCGCTCTTTTCTGCCTCCTCTAAGGACACCTTTGGCCAGGATCTAAGAGAATCCACAATTTGATACCTGAATCGAAATCTTCCAAACCACCGTCATGATTTATGACTGCCAGAATCACAAGACGCTAATTACATAACATGATCGCACATCGAGGCGTACGCACATACATCACCGTCTCCCCATCTCCCCATCTCTGTTGTAACCCTAGGTCATGTCTATTTCAGATGGCAATTTATTACACCGCCGGGAGCCGTCGGATCCAATCAGGAACATCCGCAGCCGTCAGATCTTCGTTACTAACTTCGGTCGATGGGTAATGCGCATAACCGCAGCTACGAGGTCCGTTTGACATCGCAAAGAGAAGAAAAGTACTCCTGGATTTGAACAAAAGAGTCAGGACCAGCCGGCTAAAGAGAGACGGGTATAGTTACCAGTAGTCGTAGTATCACCGCAGCAATGGCTATGGTTCTAACGCGAAGGCCTTGATAGCCAGCCGCCTGGCTTCGACGTGACCAACGCAGGGAAGGCGCCTGAACCTCGACTTTATGTCCGGAGACGGTCCTTTCCCAGCTTCTACATAGACATTAAGGAGCAGCTTGTGGAAGTTGTCATCCGTCCAGCCTCTATACCTCCGCACCATTTGCTCGGCAGTCGTCACGTCTTTCTCCGCTGCTAGATATGGAAGCAATCCCGTGACAGCGGCATAAGATGGCACTGCTCGCTCTTCGGTCACCACTTTCAACGCCAATCTCATCCTCGAGGCCGCAGTCTGGGGGTCCTTCCTGGCCAAGTACCCGGTGACGAGATAGTTGTAAATCCCGAAAGATGGTGTCAGCTCGTATCTGTCGGCACGGCCCAGCATTTCCTCCACTCTCTTCATGTTTCCTTGCTTGGCGAAGTGACGAGCCAGTGCCTGTAAGAGCCGAGCCTGGACGTTCGCGGTTGGTTTCATCTGTGCAACCTTCTCAGCTTTGGTCACTTGTCCCAGTAGCGCAAGAGACTCAATTGCCATGACGAAGAAACCTTCTGGGAGCCGACGCTCTTGGTCCATTTGCTGCCACACTTCTTCCACTTTGTCCAGCTTCCCAAGCATCGCGTAGCAGTGCATCATGTTCCCGGCAATCGCTGGCCTCTTCGCAGCGCACATCTCACTGAGTTTGATCTTTCCCAGCGCGTCCTCAACGTCTTGTTCCAGTCCTTTGATCGGCCCGATCCTGTCCTTGAACTTCAGCAGCACCGCGTAAGTTATCACGTTGGGCTCTATCCCGTCCGCCTTCATACTCTTGTAGATCTTGACGATCTTCTGGTACTCGGCCCTCCGGATGTACATGAGAATCATCGCCGAGTATGGCTGCGGCAGAGGCGAGGTCCCCGTTCTCATCAAGTTCTCGGCCTTTGCCATCAAGTTCCTGGATGCGTAGCCGGCGACGAGCGCCGAAAACGCTGGCCACTTGCTCAAGTGACTCGGGAGACTATAGAAATACTTCTCTGCGGTCTCATAGTCCGAGTCGCGGCAAGCCAAGGTGACCAGCTGCTCGTAGTCTCCTTCGGTCACCTCGATGGGTTTTTTCTCGACGAGCCATGAAAGAATCTATCCACAAGAAAAAAAAACCGATCGATCACTCTTGAGCGAGAAGAACAAGTAACTTGAGAGGTCTCACCTGGACGGACTTGGTGTGCATTCGTCGGCACCTCATTCTTTGAAGAAGCATAGCGAGCATCGATCTCGTGAGCTTGTTGCCGGATCTCTCCCACTGTTTGATCCCCAACACTGGATCCTGTGAGTAATCCACTTTTGTCCACAGGTCCTCAAGAGCGTCACCGCTCCCTTGAGACCTCCGCGACGCTCTTGGATCGTAAACCACGAGATCGTCCCCAGCATCCTGGAACTCCACATCGTCGGTGTAATGCCGCTGCTGCTGGAGATAGAATCCAGAGCTCATCCAACCCCTGGCTACTGTCTCCACATTCCTTTCGCCAAGAAACGAGAATGCCGCTCTTGGTCGAGCGATAGGCGTGCTCGCTGCCGGCCTGAGAAGAAATCTGGAGGAGCAAGTGAGCGAGTTACACTCTCATACTAGTGATCGGTGTCTTACCTCGCAGCCCTGGCGATACGCAGCGTCGCTCTTCCAGCTCCCATCCCCAAGAACCCTAAAATCCGGCCGGGTTTAGGGTTTATCAGCGATGCATCGGCTGGGACGCCAAGCGCGGCGATGGTACGTCCTCCTCGTCTTGCATTCGCATTCTCTCTAGCTCCTCTCTTCTACAGGCGGCATTTCGCGAGCGCAATCGCGGCGCCAGAACCAGCATTGTCTAGCTCTGGAGCAAGAATCGCTGTCCCGGCTCGATCGATCGTGCCAGTGAACCGGCACTGGGTTTTCTCCCCAGCAGCGCGAGTGCTAGCGCCAGGAACGCGAGCGCTCCATGTCCTACCCCTGGACGATCGCTCCCTGGAGAAATTCTTCGTGGAACACGAAATGCGGGAGCCACGGATGCCGCTGATTCCCATCCCACCGTCGAGCGGTACACTGCAGTCTCACATAGACGCGATTTGGAAAAAGGCCGAGCCAAGCAACTATAGAGACATCGTTGCAGCGCTCAAGGATTGGCAAAGCGAAGGCAATCTCGTCACAAGGGATGTGATCTACAAGCTCATCATCCGGCTCCACGCTCGGATGTTCTACTTCCAAGGAATGAAAGTAAGTTCGCTCTCTCTTGCTCGATCCAACTTTGGTTTCTCCTCTCTCTCTCTCTCTCTCTCTTTGCTCGATCCAACTTTGTTTTCTTTTCAGTCTTTGCTTCAAACTTTGTTATCTCCTCTCTTTGCACGATCCGCTCTCTTCGCTTGATCCAACTTTGGTTTTTCCTCTCTCTCTTTGCTCGATCCAACTTTGTTTTCTTTTCAGTCTTTGCTTCAGTCTTTTCAGTCTTTGTTATCTCCACTCTTTGCACGATCCGACTTTACTTTCTCCTCTCTTCGCTTGATCCAACTTTGGTTTCTCCTCTCTCTTTGCTCTAGCCAGCTTTGTTTTTTCCTCTCTTTGCGCTATTCAACTTTCCGCTCGCTTTGCTCGATCCAACTTTGTTTTCTCCCCTTTCTTTGGTTGATCCAACTTTGCTTTCCTCCTCTCTTTGTTCGATCCAGCTTTGTTTTCTCCGCTCTCTTTGCTCGATCCAACTTTGTTTTCTTCTCGCTTCGTTCTTACGTTTTTCTTTTCCTTCCAGCTCATGAACTGGGTCATCGTGGAGAAGCCATTCCAGCTGACGGACTTCGATCACTTGGTCCGGATGGATTTCCACACTCGAGAGCTGAAGGTGGACAAAGTGCTGACTTGCTTCAACCGGATCCAGGACAAGACTGAGACGTGCTACGTCCTGCTCCTCCAGGCCTTTGCGACGGCCCACAGGAAAGAAAGAGCTCTAGACGTCTTGAAGCAGATGAAGGAGCTGGTTCTCATCACCAATTCCTACTCTTACAACCTCGTCATCGCCATGTACCTCCGGATGGGCCTAATCGACGAGGCCAAGGAGATGTTTGCGGAGCTCAAGGACAAGTCCAACGTCGCTCCCGACGCCTTCACGTACTTGAACCTGCTGAAGAGCCGGGACGCGCTCGGGATGGACGATCTGGAGGACACGATCGAGGAGTTCTTCCTGGACGTGGACAAGATACCAACAGGCTTCGAGTGGAGGAACCTGATCCGGCTCTACGGCGCCATGGGAAAGAAGAAGGACGTGGAGAGGCTCTGGAGGGAGCAGAAGCGAGTGGCCGAGTACATGCCCGAGTCCTACTTCCTGGCGGCGATCGAGTCCTTCGGCATGAACGGCGAGATGAAGCAGTTCGAGGAGATTTGCAAGCAACTGGAAGCTCAGAATCAGAAGCTCTCGGAGAGGCAGTGCTTCACGATGCTCAAAGTCTACTGCATGAACGGCCTCATGAACGACGCTGAGAGAACGGCCAAGAAGATGGAGGAGCTGCGGTACAAGCTGGGATTCAAGGGCTACCACTACCTGGTGTCCGGCTACGTGAACAGGCACCAGTTCGTCAAGGCCACGGAGAAGTTTAGCGAGGCGGAGGAGAAAGGCCTGGCCAAAGGCTTCAAGAATCCACTCTTCGTCACGGTGCTGACGCTGCTGGAGGCCTACGCCGGGAAGAAGGAGCTGGAGAAAGCCGAGGAGATGGTGGAGAAGGTGCTCAAGACGAAGCACTATCCTTACGATATCAGGCTCTTCAATGCGCTGCTCAAGGTGTACCGGAGGTGCCAGAAGCCGGCTTGGGGGATCGAGAATCGCATCAAGGAGGCCAAGCTGGAGCCCAACGAGACTACTCACAAACTTCTCAAGAAGCTAGAAGTTTTCAACTAGGGGGATATTTAGAGAATATTCCTCTTACAGTGATAAACCCTAAACCCTTTGTGTAGAATATGCTTAAATATTCCAGTGAAGAAGAATTTAAGGTGTTCTTGTATATAGAGATGAAGAACAAGGCCTCCTTGTTCTCTCATTCTCTAAATTGTATTTCCATTCTTTGCGTTCTTTGCAACACTTGGATCTCCACCACCAAAGTTCTTCGCTAACATTCTGTTCATCACTCCTTCACCATGTAAACTTGATACGATGCTTACGATAGTTTCATCTTGAGCTCATTGAACAGCTTCTCCGTCTCACCATTGGGCACGACTCCATCCGCAAGCATCCTCTCCACGAATCTCTCCGTTGGCCTGGCCGCAACCAAGTGTGCCCTGAGTAGCCTGTTATACAACCCCGTGGTAACCCGGTAGCCCGACCTCTTCCACCTCGTCAGCGTCTCCTCGGCGGTATCCACGTCCCCGGCATCCGCCAGAGTGTTGAGAGCAGCCCACAGAGTAGCCGCCAGCGGCGTGAATCGCCGCTCTTTCTTCCCACAGGCTTGAGCAGCTCTCAAAGTCGATAGCATCTTTCCGATGTCTCCGGCCTTGGCGTAGAGCAGCACTAGATGGTGGTAGCACCACGGATCCAGCTTCACACCCAGCTCGTACTCCATCCTCCGGACCAGCCCCTCGGCCTCTTCGCGCATCCCCGCGACCGAGTAGACGAACATCATGGCGTTAAACACCGTCGAGTACTTGAGGCTCTTCTCGTTGGCTTCGGCTACCTGGAAGATCGTCTCGGCTCTGACGACGTGTCCAAGCTTCCCCCAGGCTCGGATGATGCAGCAGTAGTCCTCGGTGTTTGGCTGTCGCTGCTGCTTAAGCCTCTCCCACGTCCTCTCCACCCGAGCACCGTCTTCGAGCGAAGCGTACATGGAAATGAGGACGTTGTATCTCCTGCGCTGCTTTACTATCGTCCCTGCTTCCATTCCTTGGTCGATTAGCTCCAGCATCTCTAGCACTTTGTCGTTCCTCCCAGCCGAGACGTAAATGTTTGCCATGGCCAGGCAAGTGAAGAACCGTGTCCTGTCCCTGGGAGAAGTGATTGTAGCGTAGAGCTTCTCAACGTCTTCCAGGCCCTGGACTCTAAACTTTGCTGGAAGGAGGAGGTTGTAGAAGCACATATCGAGCTCAACTCCCAACTTCTGTGCTTCCTTTGCCAACATAAGAACTTCCGCGTCTAGGCGGAGCTGGCGATACATCGAAGCCAGGAGGTTCAGGCTGTAGCATGACGAGATGGTACCAGTGGCTTTGAGTTCTTTGAAAAGTCTCTCGGCCCGTCCCCGTTTTTTTTTCTTGGTGTAGCTGAGAAGAAGAGCGTTGTAAGCAACTTCGGACCTGTGCTCTGGTGCGAGACGCTCAAAGATCCTCTCGGCCTTGCCAACAGATCCGCAGCGAGAAGCCAGGTCCATTCGAAAAATATTGTCCTTCGTAGTTAGAGTGAAGGGTCTTGGTCTCGAGAGAGCCATCCAGTCCGCAATCTGAAAAGAAAAGAAAACAATCCATCTTCAAAGGAAAAAAATAGAAACACTCAGTACCTCTAGTGCATGCTTGACTCTCTTGCGCTTTCTCAGTCGCCTCATCACGTATACAAACTCGTGCTTCCCCACTTCCACGTCTCTCGACCTGAGCCATCCTCTCACAATTCTCTGGACGCGAATGTATTGCTCGTCTTTGAGCTCGCAAATAGCCTCCAACAGCTGCTGGGCAGCGCTAAAATCTACACCAGCCAGCCGGGCTTCATCCTTTTCGTAAATCTTCCCCAGCTCATCGGCCGCATCTTCTTCATCCTCGACATCCTCATAGTCTTCTTTCTGTGCACCGTAGTCCTCTTCGTCCTCCTCTTCCTGCTGTCTAGCCTGTTGTGCGATGTGTTGCGAACCCAAAACCTGTGTAGCTGTCCGGCTGGCTGCTGCCCCAGCCAGCCATGGAGCTGAAACTAAAGCCGGACACCTGGCTCTATTTCTGCTCCAAGGATTTGCAACGAAGGTCGTCGCAACTGGAACAACGATGACAGCAGCCAACATTCCCTGCAAGAAAGAACTCAGCTCACAATGACCCACATCACCAAAAGAAAGAAAAGGTAAACCATGTACCTGATAATCTAGAGATAATAGTTGCCAGTCACGACTTCTCCGCCAGCGTCACTGAGCTGCTGGAGCAGCTGGTGAGTTTCGCGTGTGGGTTTCATGTTGTTCCCAGCCAGTCTCTTGAGGAAGGGGCCTTGGACTTGCTTCCCAGCTTTCAAGTAGACCCGAAGAAGATGATTGTAGACCGCGATGTCGGTTCTATACTTTCCCTTCCTCCAGTCCGCCAGCAATGTCTCGGCCAGAGCTACATCCCCTGTCTCTCTGGCAATCGTTTTGAGAACGTCACAAAACGTTCCTAGGAATGGCCTCGAGCGTCCATCCCGCATTCCAGCAGCCTCTGCTAGCTCCAAGATTTCCACCGCGCGATCGATGTTTCTGGCGTTGAGGTTAGCAAGAATGATGTAGTGGTAGCACAGCGCGTCCCGGGAAACATCCTGTTCTTTCATCTTCTTGAAGAGCTTTTCGGCCTTGTCTGCCTGTCCTTTCCCAGCGTAGACGCCTAAGAGTGCCGCAAACAAGGATGGCTGGTTGAGCAAGCCTTTCCTGTCCGCCTCCTTGAAGTACTTCTCGGCGGAACCAACCTCGTCTGCTCGACCACAAGATTCGATCATAGCAACGTAGTCCTGCGCTTTCAAGTCTTCGATCTTCTTCCAGACTCTCTCCATACCATCCCTGTTCTTCATGGTGCTGTACATGGAGATAAGTATGTGATACGTCCTCCGCAGCTTTGGAAAGCTGCCTTGGTCCATGGCTTTCTCGATCACCTCTAACAAGTTCTGGGCCTTGTCGTGCATTCCCGCGGACAAATACGAGGCAGCCATCATCGAGTACGTAGACAAGTGCGAGCGTTTGAGGTCAGATCCCGCAGGAACCAGTTGGTTGAAAATCTCTTCGGCCGAAGAAATCCCGTGAAGCTCGTACTTGGACACCATCAAGTTGTTCAGGAAGCAAACGCACGGCTTCATGCCTGCTGCCTCGATATCTTCCTGGAGCCTCACCACCTTGTTGTGCAGGCCACACCGCCGGTAGAGGCAAGCCAGTATGCTGAAAGTGATATCGTTGGGCTTCAGCTTGGCCTCCTTAAACTTGTAGTAGAAGTCGTCGGCATGGAGGATCATCTTGCGCTGGGAGAAGATCAAGAACATCGTGTTGTACGCGTCGGTCGTCTTTTCCCAAGCCTGAAGCTTCTTGAAAATCTTCTGAGCTCTCCGGATCTTTTTGGCACGCACAGCCATGTCCATTCGGAGGATAACGTCGTCCAGATCCTGCGGGAACTGTTTTGTGTAATACATCCAATCGGCAACCTGTGGAGTTCGAATGTGAGAAAGTTAGAAAAACCAAAAACTTTGAGCATTCGTCATTGGAAAGAAAGTAATTTCTCAAGAAAGGAACGAGGAGAACGATCAAGTCAAGGAAAAAAAGGAGTGAAATTCTTGAATAATAGAAGAAAAACTCGAGAAACGAAAGAATCACCGGGAAAAAAAATGGTAGCACAACATTACAAGGGAGAAAACAAAAGAAGGAACCAAAGGAAGAATTCGCATTGTTTGTACAGTACCTCGAGGGCGAGAGATCCACGCTTCCACTTCCGGAGCTTGAGCATGATCGCTCGAAGCATCTCCTTGTCGAGCACATTGCCTTCCTCTTCCCATTCCTTCAACATCGGCACTACGTGACCGGAATCCCTTGGCCGCAGCGCCGCAATCTTGTTACACAGATCCACGAGCTTGGGAGATTCCATCTTAGCCGCCTGCTTGGCGAGCTTGTGCGCAAAACCGGTGTCGGTATCGGAGAAATCATCCTGCTCCTCCGCGCTCCGGCTAGAAACAGAGAAAGAATGCGCTCTGGCGGCAAGAATGCTGGAGAACGATCGATCGCTGCCCGCATCGCGCCGCAAGAGGCTGCATTGCCCGGCCTGGGAAATCCGTCGCAGCAGCATCCATCCTCTCATCGCAAAACCCTAATCCCTAAAATCCTGCAGTAAAAAAGTAAAAAGTAGTCCAATTAAATTTAAAGTCGCAAAAGACTATTAGGAGGCAACCAGGATCGAACTGGTGACCTATCGGACTGCAGCCGATTGCTCTACCACTGAGCTATACCTCCATGCCATGAAAATTACTTTGGTTAATAAAAGCTTTATTTGTGAATTATTTGTTTAATGTGAATTAGGGTTCTTGGGGAAGATAAACCCCAAACCTTGAAATGGGTATGAGCAGTGGAGGATTGCGAGTGTGCCGAGCTATGGCGGCATTCTCTTCGATTTCTTGCTCGTATTCGCTCGACGTCATCGCGAGGCCACCGTCATTCTCGAATTTAAGCAGGTGCCACTTCTATCCTCTCCTCCTCTCTTCTCCCTCCAGAAGATCCATCTCCGGGATCGCCACAGCGCGCTGCCAGTCGGAATCATCCATGATCAAGGAGATGCTGGCAGAGCAGGAGGAGAGCAGCGATTCGGAGCTGGACACGCGGTCGATTCACGACATCGAGGAGGAGCAGGAGGAGGAGGATCAGTACGAGGAGAATGACTACTGGGACGATGTGGATTACCCGGCGGCGACGCATCTCGCCAGTAACATCGCCAGGCTCAAGCGCACACAGGTCTCGCTGGTTGTCCCCGAGGTGAGGAAGTGGATCAAGGAGGGAAACCTGGCCACCAAGCACACCTTCTTGTTCGTCATTCGCAAGCTCAAGAAGCGCAATCGCCACGTCCATGCCGTCAAGGTAAGAAGCTCTTCTCCTCTTTCTTTGCTCACTCCTCCATTCGAGTTCTTCCAAGCTTCTAGAGTAAGGTCTTGCTACCTCCTGGATGATACGAAGTTCTTAGAATCTCTTCTTCTCTTTCTTTGAGCACGCCATTCCAGTTCTTCCAAGCTTCTATAGTGATCAAGAGCTTCCAAGTTCTTGTAGACCATGATCCATTCGAGTTCCTCCAAGCTTCCATCCCTCTCGAAGAAACTTCCTACCTCCTGGATGATACCAACTTCATCTTAGAGCTTCCAAGTTCTTGTCGACTCATTTTGTTCTTCTTTGTTGCACAGATCGCGAACTGGATGGCAGCGAAGAAGCCAGTTCCTCACGAGATCAAGGACGACATTCGCAGAGTGGAGCTCCATGGCCGTTGCGGCTGGTACCAAATGGCCGAGAGGATCTTCCAAAAGCTCCCGGACGAGCACAAGAAGGAGGAGGCTTACAACGCGCTGCTGCTGGCATACACCAAGTCCAAGATGCTGCGCAAGGCCGAGGTCGTCTACGAAAAGCTCCGGGATGAGAAGATGATCACCACCCCTTACACCTTCAACTTGATGGCCACGCTCTACCGCCGGAGAGGTCTCGAGGAGAAGGTGCTCAATCTTGCGGACGAAGCTCGGGAGCTCGGGATTCAGCTGGATATGTGCTCCGAGAACATCCTTCTGTCCGCCAAGTACAAGGTCGAAGGCATCGAGTCCGCGGAGCAAGCCTTCCAAGGCATCAAGTCGAGCCGGCACGAGAAAGCCCACATCTCCACCTACGTGACCATGGCGAGCTGCTACGCCAGCGACGAGCTCTTCGACAAAGCTCTCGCTGTCCTCCAGACCATCGAGCACGGTATGGAGATCGGCCAGTTTCCAAAGCTCCGGACCGCCTACAACACGCTCATCACCATGTACGCCACCGTCAAGAACCCGGCCGGCGTCCAGCGAGCCTGGAAGGAGCTGCTCAAGCTCGGGGACCCGATCAGCCAGGACTTCATCTGCGTCATCAAGTCGTGGGGGAAGCTCGGTGAAGTCGAGAGGGCCGAGAGGCTGTTCAAGGACGCCGAGAGCCTGGGAAAACTTGGCAGCTCCCCGATGTTCAGTGCCATGTTGTACGTCTACTCCATCCTCGGGCTAACTGCTCGGGCCGAAGAGCTGGTGCGCAGGATGAAGGAGGAGCTCGGCGTCCAGATGGATCCCTGGTGCTACTTCCACCTCGTCGACATGTACCTCAAAGCTGGCAATACCGAGGAAGCGATCACTTGGTTGAGGGAGTCCCAGGTGACTGGTACCAGGAACCCGAGGTCGAGGCCGCTGCCTGCTTCTCTAACGCTTGTTCTCGGAGCTCTGGCTGCGATCCCGGACGTGGAGAGGGCCGAGCAGATCCTCGAGGACTGGAAGCTGGCGGGTTACTGGGTGAACAGTGCGGTGTATAACAAGCTGCTGCTGGCTTACGTGAATGCCAAGAGACCGGCGTATGGATTCGTTGAGAGGATGCTCCAGGACGGTGCACGGCCGAACGCGAAGACTGATATCCTCTTCAGTGAGCTCCGGAAGATGAAGTCCGGGGACAAGTCTGAGGCCCAAGCAACTGAGGCTCTCTGAATTCCCTGGAACCTGTTATTTTACATGGAAAGAGTAGTAGTGAAAAACACTAGACACGCAAACCTGTGCCGGGTTTAGTTCTTGTGATGCATTCTGCCGCTCTCCGAGCCGGCAAATGGATCGATTCTAACGTTGATCAGAGCTGGCTTCTTGCTTGCAAATGCCTCGTTCACTGCAGACTCCAGCTCCTTGGGCTCTTTCACAAAGTAGCCACTGCCACCGAACGCTTCCATCACTTTGTCATAGCGAGCGCACGGAATGAAGGACGTCGGTGCCGGGAAGTCCTTGAGTGGGCCCTCTTTGTCTTCCGGAGTCCTCCGATCGCCACCATACACTCCATCGTTGTTAAAGATGATCACCACGATCGGGAGGTTGTATCGAACTATTGTCTGCAGCCAAAACATAAGAAACCATGCTACTTAGCGTAAAGAAAAAAAAAGACGTACCTCCAGTTCGAAACCACTGAAGCCAAAGCCAGAGTCTCCCTCGACAGCAACAACTAAGCGCCCTGGTGATTCCACGGCAGCGGCAATTGCATAGCCCATCCCGATACCCATCGTTCCCCATGTACCAGCGTCTAGTCTCGTTCGAGGCTCTAGCTGTTGAAAGACAGTCCGTCCTATATCCATGGTGTTCGCTCCCTCGGAGACGAGGATAGGAGTTGGCGAGCCTAAAGACGAGATCGCATCGCGAATAATCCTCAACGGAGTCAAAAAGTTGAAAGGAACGACGTCCTGCTTCAGCCTCGCAGCCATCTTCTCGACGCTGTCACTGGCTTTGTTCTTCAACTTCTCCACCCAAGGATGCTTGTCGCCTAGAGAGAAAGGAGAGTCCTTCCACTGTTTGTTTAGGTCCGTCATAACCATCCTTGCATCGCCAACGAGTTTCACAGCCGGGCGTCGTAGTTCCATTTCCTCTTTAGAAGTGTTGACCAAGATGAACTTAACGGAATCGGACCACTGTGGAGGCTCGCCGAAGTGTAGTAGCCAGTTTAATCTAGCTCCAATTACCAGTGCAACATCACTCTCACGGAGTGCCAGCGAACGAGCAGCCCCAGCAGAAAGATGGTGCGTGTCCGAAATGACTCCCTTGCCCATTGGTGTTGCTAGAAATGGTATTCCTGACCGTTCGACAAACTGCTTGATCGCACCTTCCGCACGGCTTAAAGCTGCACCTTTCCCGAAAACCACCAGCGGCTTCTCGGCTTTGTGGAGTAGAGACAACGCCTCCTGAATGTCTGACTCGGAACAGTGGCACTCCAGCTCGCGAGAGAACATCGGCTTCGCAGCCTTCACCCCCGCAAGCAACTTCTCGGCCTCCTCGACGGAAATGTTCTCATGAAGAACGTCGGAAGGAAGATCGATGTATGTCCCTCCCGGCTGGTCTTCCAGAGCGACTTGAAAAGCTTTAGATACGACCTCGGGAACCTCAGAAATCTGGCTAGCCTTGCCCGAGTATTTGACAAACGGTTTCACAGCTTCCATCTGATCAAGCTCCTGGAAGTCACCTTTCCCTATATCCTTCTGCGTGCAGGACCCAGAGATCATCACCAGGGGCCACGTATTGATCATTGCATTGCTCAGACCCGCAAGCCCGTGCACGCAACCTGGTCCCGAGACTGTGAGCAAAACTCCCGGTTTACCAGTCAGAAAACCAGCTGCTGACGCTGCATATCCCGCTGATTGCTCATTCCGGAAAGCGATGAACTTTATCCCAACCTTCATGGCGTAAGTCGCGAGAGAGGTCACCGGAATGCCAACGACGCCGTACATGGTCTCCACTCCTGCTGCTGCAAGAGCCTTGACGGCAAGCATGTTGCCATCAATGTACACTTTCCCAGCACCTGGAAGCACTCATGTAAGAACACTTAGCTCCAGGAAAAACAAGAAGATTCACGCACCTTCGGCAACTCCGCTATCCATGGCGCTGGATCCTTGAAAGACACAGAACAATTCAAGACCAAAGACCCACGAACAGAAGTTCCCAAACCTGGAATGGAAGCGCCCTCAAGAACCCTACTCCACAATGAGGTGACTGGGCTGGACAATGACCCCGTCAATAAAAAGTCCACCTTTCCAAGTGCCACTGACGATCTCCTGTAGCGAGAAGAAAAGCTCCACTTCACCCAATTCATCCTCGTCCTCCACGACAATCTGTCCCACATCATACTCCACCCAATTGTCCGCCACCGTCCGAGCTCGAGCAACCATGCTGACAGGCTCGTCGTCTTCTTCCGACTCGTCACTGCTGCTTCGATCCAGCCCCTCGGAGTCCACCAGGTAGCACGAAGAGTTCGTCACCCTTCCGTCTAGAGTTGCCAAGCTGAATCTCACTGGTTCCTTATCCCACCCAAAGGCGTCGGAATCGAGCTGGAGTCTCCAAGAGACGGTGTAAGTTCCTGGAGCTAGGCTCAACTTCCAGTTCCCAGAGAGCTCTAGCCAGCAAACCATCTTGAGGTGCGCCACCTCGCCAAATCTTTGTGGTAGCGAAGCAAGAAAAATCCATGAGAAGAGAAACTCTTCGTGAATGGAACTTAAGTACCTGGCGCCATGCTTTGAGGACCATTCCCAGTATTCCGCGGTGCTTCCCCAAGTCACAGCCAAAGATCTCGAAGAAAAGCTGTGGCAAACAGCCGCAGTAGCTCGATCGATCCATAAGCCCTGGAGAAAGCGAGAAAAAAATTTATGAGCCAGAGAGGATCACCTAAAGAAAGCGCTTCTTACTAGGATTCTTGCTTAGATCAAATATTTTTCCCAAGAGAAAGAACCTCTGATCCGTCTCCGATGAGAATGTGTCCACACAGCTGCTCGTACAGCTCCCGCTTGGAAGAACTGCCACCGCCGCCGATGGAAGAAATGGCGAGCTTGAGAAATCTGTGGTAGCCGACCGGCAGCATTCGCTCCCACACGATGTCCGTGCGCCCGGCATCCCTGAAAGCTCGATTCACGAGCGCTAGCCTTGCTACATCACCTGGAGAAGTGTGAGAGAGGATCGACGCGATGATCGACTCCGGGAGATCGAGCGCCCCGGGCATCGCCGATTTGAGATTGCGATTCCCAGCTCCTCTTCCCATCCGTCCCGCCCCAAAATATTTCGAAGGGTTTTGGGCAAAACTTTTGGCCCCTTCCCATCTTCGATCCCAGCCGTTGATTTCGTAAGCCCCATATCTGACCGTTGGCTAGGTTTTTATTAGGGTTTGTGAGCAAGCAAGGAAATGGATTCCTGGCGCTGAATTCTCCGCGCAATGCGAGCATGGATGATCGTCTCCAGGAATGCGCTGCAAGGAAAGGATCTTCTAGGCTATTCCGTGGCTCCTGGAAGGAGAATCGCGCAGGTGCTGGATTTTGCGAGGAGCTTGAGTTTCTCGAGGGATTTGAGAGGAAGGCCCAAACAGGATATTGTGAGGAACAGGAAGAGCGACGAGCATGATCGCTACTGGGGCACTGAGGAGAATGATTTGCGTTACGATGCCAGTAGAGTCACCCCGAGCGACGACGAGGACAATGTGGACCCGAATTCTCTCGTCGCAAGGCTCGAAGATGATAAAGGAGGACCTGTGCTACACATTTTGCATCAGTGGATCGCGGAAGGCCGGGAGAGCCACGGGGAGATCATTGCTGCTATGAAGCGTCTAAAATGGCTTGGAAGATTCAAGCAAGCTTACGAGGTATGTTTCATTCTATATCTTAGAGAGCTCTGCTTTGTTCTTGGGAAGTTTGAGTAGATAGAGAGCTCTTCTTTGTCTTTGAAAGATCGAGTAGAGTTCTAACATAGAGTTCTTCCAGATCTCGGACTGGGTGATCAAAGAGAGAAGTTTGGAGCTTCAAAAGTTCCATTTCATCAACCATTTGGACCTTACCGGACGGGTCGTCAACATGAACGCTGCGAAGAACTTCCTCCTTACCAAAATGCCGCGCGTCTATGCCAAATCTGAGGCTGCTCTCATCACCATGTTCGAGAACTACGTGATTCACTCGCTCCTTTCAAAGGCAAGGCTGGTGCTCAAGCTGATGAAGGAGAAGAACCTCCTCACCACCGCCACGGCGTTTAACAAGCTCTTCCATCTCTATGCCAACAAGAAGAAAGAGGACGGCATTCCAGTGATTCTCAGGGAGATGAGAGACATGCGCATCTCTCCAAACGTCGAGACTTACAACATCCTCATCGGGATAAAGGCCAAGAAGGGCGACACCGAAGGCATGGAAAGACTCTTCAGCAAAATGAAGTGCGATGGAGATGGAACTCCAAACTGCGAGATACTTTGCACGCTCGCGTCGGGATACGTGAACGCTGGTGATCACGAGAAAGCTATGGCATACTTGAAAGAGGCGGTGGCCAGCGAGGAGTTTCAAGAGAGCCGGAGAGTTCACGATAAGGTGATAGCACTCTACGCTGCAATGGGAAGAGCCGATATGATCGACAGGATATGGAGATTCACGCGAAGGTTTCCAGTGGTCTCGGCAAACAGCTATGTTGCTACTATAGCAGCTTACGAGAAAGTGGGACGGATCGACAGGGCCGAGAAGGTGTTTGCGGAGCTGACCGAGAAGAGAACTCTGTTGAGACCGGCGCACTACGTCCCATTGTTTCGTGCGTACTGCGAAGGTGGTGAGATGGGAAAGGCCGAGAAGCTGCTCGAGAGAATCCGGCATGGAAACGGGCATATCAACAATCTCAGCTATCACCATTTGGTTGCGGGATACATGAAGTCTGGAAATCCGAAGATGGCAGCCGAGACACTCAACAGGATGTTCGAGGAGCGCGTCCCGCCGTGCTTCGACACCGTGATGCTCATCCTGAAAGAACACGCGAAAAACGCCGACGTGAGCAGCGCGGAGCTTCTCTTCCAGGACATGAGGAGGGAATCATACAACAAGAACGTAGCGGCTTACAACAGTTTGCTCGAGGCATACGTGAACGCCGGCAAGCATGCGTACCGGTTCTTGCAGCGCATGGCAACAGACAAAGTGGCACCGAATGCGAGAACGTTCGAGCTTCTCAACAAGATGAGGCCGATTCCCAAGCTATGCGCGGACAACCAGCTCATTCCTTCCAATCGACCAGCTTAGCAGAAAGTTCGTCGCGATGGATCGGCTGTGGTGATGTTCTTCGTGAAGAACCGGAGCTTTGCTCTCGGGAGATCTCTGGTCCGGCATCGCCATCACGACGTGGCTACGGTGGTGGAGAGAAAAATCCAGGAGGAAAGCTATGCTTCATCGCTGAGAAGGTCCGGAAGCCTCAAAGAGGTATGCGACAGGCACGCCGAGATCGTGAGAGATGGCTATGGACAGAGTGTGGTTCTTGGGGACGTCCTGGTCCAGGCGTATGGCAAGCACGGGGGCATCGACAAGGCAAGGCTCGTGTTTGATGGCCTGGTCAGAAAAAATGCCTTCTCGTGGACTGTCCTGATAGCGGCGTATGCCCAGAACGGGCATTCCAGGCAGGCACTTGGTGCTTTCAGAGCGATGGACGTGAAGCCGAGCAGATACACGTACTTGGTGATCTTGGGCGCGTGCTCGGAGCTCAAAGCTCTCTCCGATGGCCGAGTGATCCACTCACAGATCTTAGCAGCGGCCGCGGAGCTTGGAGACGACGTTTGCCTCCACAACGCTGTCGTCAACATGTATGCCAAGTGTGGGAGCTTGAACGATGCTCGAGCTGCGTTTGATGCTATGCCGCGGAAGGACGTGGTGTCGTGGAACTCTATGGTATCTGCGTACGCTCAGCGTGGTGAGAGGCGCTTGGCTCTGGAACTATATCACAGAATGGAGCCGGAAGGGGTGAAGCCGGACGAGTACACCTTCTCGAGCGTTCTCAGTGCCTGTTCCAGCTACGAAGAAGGGAGAGAGATTCACAAGGCGATCGTCTCGTCAGGTACTCACTCCAACAACAATGCTATCCAGAATGCGCTGATCGACATGTATACCAGATGCCACAGGTTGGTCGAGGCCAAGGAAGTTTTCGAACGGATGCAAAGAAGAAACGTGATCTCATGGACAGCCATGATCTCGGCGTATACACAGCACGACGAAGGGAGACAAGCCGTGCTTCTGTTCCGGAAGATGGACTTGGAAGGCGTGGTGCCAAACAACGTCACCTTCGCCACTGTCATCACGGCGTGCTCCAACGAAGGGATGCTCGCGCAGGGCAGGGCGATTCACTCTCGTATCAGGAAGCCCGACTTCGTCGTCCAAAACACGCTCTTGAACCTCTACGGCAAGTGTGGACGACTCGAGGAAGCCAGGAGCGTGTTCGAGGAGATGAAGTTCAAGAGCGTGATAACGTGGACGACGCTGGTAGCAGCGTACGCACAGCAGGGGCACTCCATGGAAGCTCTGGAGCTGTCCCGGAAGATGGACTTGGACGGTGTGCTGCCAAACTCGGTGACTTTCGGCTGCATACTCGTTGCCTGTAGCTATGGAGGCCTCCTCGACCAAGGTTGGACCTCTTTCACTTCGATGCTCCCGGACTACGGCATAGAACCGGCAGCGGAGCACTACGTCTGCATGGTGGATTTGCTGGGACGGGCCGGCCGAGTTTTCGAAGCAGAGGACTTGGTTCACAGCATTCCAGCCGAACGAGAGCCGCTTGGATGGCTGGCCTTGCTAGGAGCTTGCAGGAACCAGGCCGATGCCGAGCGTGGAACTCGAGCAGCTCACCAGGCTTACGAGAGATACCGGAAGCAGTCGGGCTTGCTCGTGCTCCTGTCTGACGTTTTCGCTCGTTCCGAAGCTGCTGCGCGGTGAATCGACTCGACCACCTGACTCCCCTCAGCTTCGTCAGCAGCTCGCGAGTCTCCTCGTCGAGAACCTGCTGCTCACGTTGATCCTGAGCAGTCCCTTGTACATTGGGAGGTCCGTGACGCCATCCCCATTCGCGAAGCCTCTCCAAGACGAGCAGCATTTTCAGGATCGTTGCATAAGTTGGCTTGTGCCACCTTGAGAGCTTTCATCGCTCTAGTTTGATATCGTGCTGGTTGCTTGCGATATCAAACTCTGCAAGCCTCTACAAACAAATCAGCAACACAAATGGTGAGAGGACTGGAAGAGGACCTGAGGCGCCTCGAGTAAACTGTTGTAAGCCGCTACGTAATCAGCGTGACCGTGATAGTCTCAGCTATCACCATTTGGTGAAGTCCGCAAATCCGAAGATGGCACTCAACGAGCGCTTTGCTGGTCAAATTTGTCATGCCTCTGTGGGACGTGCCAGTTTCACGTCGAAACTCTAGAGACGTCGAAAACGGTAACCTTATAAACCACGTAGAAGCTGTATCTAATGCGCATCTAAGCCGCGGTGAGGCTTGCAGCGTCCACTGTGAATCCACCGCGAGAAAACAGCTCCAGAGCCAGCTCCGCGTCGCCATTCTCGGAGCATCGCAGCATCAGCGACGTCCACGACATGACGCTGTGCCGAGCCATCCTGCCGAAAGCTTGCCGAGAATCCACCGGGCTTCCACACGTCCCGGTCCCATGAAACCCCGTCGGCGAGCGTCGGGCCTTGAGTGGTCTTCTTCCATTCACCACTCTCGGCTCCGCTATCCTCCTGGAAGCCGTCACAGCAGCTAGATAAGTGAGGCAGTCGAGGCTGGCTTGCGCTGGGGGTTGCTTGAACAGTTCCAAGGCCGAGTCTGGCTTGTCGTTCTCTGTGTAGCCGAGTAGCAGCGTGTTGCAAAGTCCAGCGTCGAAGCAAGGCACCCTGCCACACTTGGAGTAAAAATTCACCAGCGTGCCCGCCAAGTAGATATCACCGAGTTTCTTCCCTGCCTGCCCGTGTAAAGCTCTGCCGTTCTCTAGTGAGCTCGCCTTCACACCCGATGCTTCTGTTCATTCGCAGCTAGGCGAGACCAGGCCTTGAGCGCAGCGACGTAGCTTTAAGCATCGGGTGTGAAGCCACCTGGGAGAGTCCAGAGTCAGCTAGTGGAGAGCGAGCGGCTCACCAGGCTTAAGAGAGCTACCGGAAGCAGTCGGGCTTGCTCGTTGTCTGATGTTTTCGCTCGTTCCGAGCCGAGGCTGCTGCGCAGTGAATCTCAACCGATGACTCCTCTCAGCTTCGTCAGCAGCTCGCGAGTCTCCTCGTCGAGAGGGATCTTCTTCAGCATGAGCCGGGCTTCTATCTCTTCCAGGGGCTTCACCTTGGCACTCACGTAGATCCTGAGCAATCCCTTGTACATCCGGAGGTCCGTGGCGCCTTTGTACCTCATCACCATGTCCTCGGCACCCTCGGCATCGCGAAGCCTCTCAAAGACGGGCAGCATTTTCAGGATCACGGCGTACGTTGGCTTCATCAGCTTGACGAGAAGTGCCACCTTGAGAGCTTTCATCGCTTGGTCGGGCTGGTTGCTGTCGAGGTAACCGGTGATGAGCTCGGCGTGAGGCCGGAACAAGTTCCACACGCCGTTGGCACGCAAGTCATCGATGACGGCCTCGGCCTTGTCCGCCATTTGGTTCCTCGAGTAGACGCGGATCATAGCTGCCGAGAGCTCTACGTACTTGGACTTCGCCATCTCCATCTCGTCGGCCACCTTCTCAGCCGATCGGACCTTGCCTGCTGCTCCAAACGCTTCGATCGCGTTCAAGTAGCACACCGCTGGTATGGACGAGCTCTTCTCTTGCTTGATATGTTTCCACAACTTGCTAACTTGTGCCGCTTTTCCAAGGTAGCCAGAGACCACCATCGCTTGGCTTGCAACCGGGGCTTTGATCGTCAATTCCTCCTCGTAAGCTCCTGCATGGTGGAGAGCCACCTCGGCGTCCTCTTCCAGCTCTCTCGGCTTCAAGCTCTCCAAGCTGGACTTCTCTCGCAGCAGTGCCGCGAAGGCTGCCAGGTCTGGCTCGAGCTTTGCCGCTTTGATCCGTTTGTAGAGACTCGCTGCTTTGTCGTAGAGAGCGACTCTAAAGTAGAGTTTGATCAGTGCAGTGTAAGGTTCCATGGCGGAGAGATTGCACTGGAGCAAGATCTCTTCCACCTTGTCCATCCTGTGCGCGGAGGCATAGCCAGCGGCCATGGCACCAAGCAACTTCTCCTGGAGCTGGAGCTCTTTCGGTACGCTCTCGAAAATCTTCTCGGCTTTGTGGACTGAGTTCACCTCGAACGCGATCGATATGTGCAGCTTGTAGAGACTCTCGTCGAATTCCCCGAATGGTTTTTCTTCCGCGAGCCAGTCGAGAATCTGCCGATCGATCGAAGAAAGAAACCATCGATCGCATTAGAAGAAAAGATGGAAGGAAAGATAGAAGCGAACTTACCGAGAGTGCTTGCTTAGAACGTCGGAACGTTCGAAGCTTTCCAACGACGTATAAGATTCCTGGAAGCCCGATCTTCCGGTCCTCTCCAATCGTGAGCTTCACCACGGGTCCAACGCTGGGAATCGTGAGTGGCAGAAGCTCGTTCCAAAGCCTCTCGGCCTGGCGCTTCTGGACGAGCGTGAGATCGATGGTATCCGCGAAATCATCCTCCTCCGCAATCCCATCCGGTTCCTCCTCTTCCGGATCGTCCTTGTCGGCCTTCACGAGCCGAAATCTCACACGCCTGAATCCTCTGGAAGGGAAAGGGGGAAGAAGAAGAAGAGCTCTCCTCTCGGAATGCCGCCAGGAATTCCCGGCAATCGTCGCTCTGCGAGATTGCTCGCAATGCTGCTCCAACGCGGGCGCTGCGAGACGAGACAAGGATCTGGAATAGCTGCGCAATCGCAAGGCTCTTCGAGCGACGAGAGCCATCGAGGAGCCCTAGAACCTCATCGACAAATCTTGCCAGATTTTAGGGTTCTTCATCCAGCGCTGTCGCGACAAAGATTCCTTGCCGCGCTGAAAGAATGCGGCGCCGCGAGAGATTTGAGTGCCGGGAAGAAGATCCACGCTGCGGCCGTCGAGAGCGGCCAGGCGCTCGACATTTTCGTGGCGAGCAGCCTCATCACGATGTACGCGAGGTGTGGGAGCACGGCCGACGCTCGATCCGTCTTCGACAGGCTGCCCTGCCACGACACCGCGTCCTGGAATTCCTTGATGCTCGGCTATGCCGAGAATGGGCAAGGTGAGCTGGTTCTCGACGATTTCTTCTCGCGGCTCCATGGCCAGGGCCGCGCTTTCGATGGCCGGTCCTTTGTAGCTGCGCTCAAGGCATGCTCCAGCATCGCCGCCAGGGAAGAGTCCACTCCAAGCATCCATGGAAATGGCAAGTTCGTCAAGGCGAGAGCTCTAGAAAATGTGAAGAGCGTCCACTCCAAGGCTCTTCTAGGTGCCTACTGCTCTCTCAACGTCATCGTCTTCAACACTCTGGTGGATTCCTATGCGAGGTGTGGGAGCATGCCCGATGCACGACGGGTTTTCGAGAGGATGCCTTGCCACAGCATCGTGTCCTGGAACTCACTGCTGCTGGGATACGTGGAAGTTGGCGACCAAGATCAAGCTCTAGACTTGTTCCAGTGGATGATCGAGACTGGAAGTTGCAAGCCAGAGGCACGGACTTTCGGAGCAGTGTTCAAGGCTTGCGGTAGTCTGGCAGTGAAGAATGGAGACTCTCTTAGTGGAAGGTGGTTGACTCTGGAGAAAGGCAGGGCTCTTCACTTGGAAGCGGTAACACGGGCTTGCGAGCTTGACGACTTCGCCTTGAACGCTCTGGTTGATATGTACGCGAAGTGTGGGAGTGTGGAAGACGCCCAGGGGGTCTTCGACAGCATGCCAGCCCGTGATATCGTGTCTTGGACAGCGTTGCTGATGGCCTATACCGAAAGTGGACAGGAAGGACGAGCGCTGGAGCTTCTCTCTCGCATGGAAATCGAGCCGGACGCACAGACTTATGCTGCGGCAGCAAAGGCTTGCACAGGCTTGGCAGTGAAGGAGCAAGGCGTGGACGTCTCTGGGAAGCTTGTCAAGCTACGTGCACTCGACAAGGGAATGGCTGTTCACTCCAGGGCCGCGAGAAGTGGATGTGACACCGATGTTTTCGTGGCCAGCGTCCTCATTACCATGTATGGCAAGTGTGGGAGCCCGGTGGATTCTCGCAAGGTTTTTGAGAGGATGCAGTCCCCGGATATCGTCTCGTGGACTGGACTGTTATCTGCTCACGTTGAAAACGGGGAGGCAGAAGCGGCGCTGGCAATGTTTTTCCGGATGCAGCAAGGAGGAGAAGAACGAGGCAGGAGAAACTCTCCAGCTTTTATACAGGCGCTCAACGCATGCTGTGCTCTAGCAGCAAAGGAGGAGGCAGTTGAATCAGATGGAGCGGTCGTGAAAGTCGGGGCTTTGGATATGGGAGTTGCCATCCATTCCCTGGCGAAAGCCAGTGGATGCGACCAGGATACTTTGGTGGCAAACGGCCTGATCGATATGTACTCGAAGTGCGGGAGCTTGGCCAGCGCACACAGGGTGTTTGAAGTGATTCCTGCTCGCAATCTACAGTCCTGGAACAAGCTCATGCTCGGGTGTGTCGCCAACCGAGAGGCGGACCTGACTCTGGACGTGTTTGCTCGCATGCAAACGCAAGGTGGCTTCACACCCGATGCTCAGAGCTACGTTGCTGCGCTCAAGGCCTGGTCTCGCCTTGCTGCGAACGAAGAGAAGAATCCAGAGGGGTTGAAGACGAGCTCGCTAGAAAAAGGCAGAGCCTTACACCGGCAGACAGGGAAGAAGCTCGGTGATATCTACTTGGCGGGCACGCTGGTGGAGTTTTACTCCAAGTGTGGCAGCACGGAGGACGCTCAGCAGATCTTTGACAGGGTGCCTTGCTTCGACGCTGGACTTTGCAACGCGCTGATGCTCGGCTACACGGAAAACGACAAGCCAGACTCGGCCTTGGAGCTGTTCAAGCAACTCCCAGCGCAAGCCAGCCTCGACTGTCTCACGTATCTAGCGGCTTTGAAGGCTTCCACGAGGCTAGCGATCAAGGGAGAGCCGAGAGTGGTGAATGGAAGGAGAGTGATCAAGGCCGAGGCTCTGGAAGGTGGCATGGCGGTTCACGCTCGTATGATCGCCGACGGGGTTTCGTGGGACCGGGAGCTTTCACTCGGCAACAGTCTGGTGGACATGTACGCAAAGTGTGGAAGCCTGGTGGATTCTCGGCAAGCTTTCGACAGGATGGCTCGCCACAGCGTCGTGTCGTGGACGTCGCTGATACTGGGGTGCTCCGAGAATGGCGACGAGGCGCTGGCTCTGGAGCTGTTTGCTCGCGGTGGATTCGCAGTGGACGCCGCAAGCCTCACAGCAGCGCTCAAGTCGTGTGGGAGCCTGGTGGACGTGGAGCTTGGAAGGAGAGCTCACTCCCAGGCGTGTAGAGCCGGGCTGGAGAGCGATGGTGCCGTGACGAGCTCGCTGGTGGACATGTATGGTAAATGCGGGAGCTCCTCCAGCAGCCAGCACGTCTTTGATTCCATGGCGGCCAGGAGCACTGCGGCTTGGAACTCGCTGCTGGGAGCTTACAGCCGGGTGGGAGAGATCGGACAGGTGCTTGAAAGCTTTGGAAAGATGCGGGAGGAGGGATTCCCAGCCGATGGAATCACTTGCCTGTGCCTCTTGACGGCCTACAATCACTGTGGCCGTGTGGAGCAAGGCAAGAGGTTCTTCGATTCCATGAGCTGCTGGGGCGTGGAGCACGTCCACTGCGTGATTGATATGTTGGCGAGGGCCGACTCCGAGGCGATGGAGGCTGCTGTGGAGCTTGCGAGCTCGTTGGCTTTGAGTGAGGATGGCGATGCAATCACTTGGAGGATCCTTCTTGCTGGTTGTGAGAGATGGAAGAATGTGGAAGTGGGAGATGTGGTGTTTGAGAGGCTCGTGGCTAAAGGCCAGGACGATGCTTTTGCTTATGCTTTGATCGCCAAGCTCCACAGGAGCTAATAACCAGTTAAATCAATTAGTAAAGTAATTATCCATCCAGAAGCAGTTTCCCAACCTGCCGCAGCCGTCCGATCTCAGGCCTGGGGGAGCTTCGGATTACGATGTTTGAGGGCAGCACAGCTTGGGCTGGCCAATTGGATGGGAGGGAACTGGGTAAAAATTGTTTTCCTTTGTGTGCTCTTGGAAATTTTTTTGTGATGTTTGGGCGTGGCCGATTTTTCCCTTTGCTCCTGGAAAACTTGCGAGGGATAAATCTTCTTTTTAACCACAGCTCCTCCTCTGTCGTGAAGTTTCATGCCGCTGCTCCTCGAGAATTGTGAACAAGGCAGCCCCTTGCCGTAAATCTTTTGGGCAGTTAGGTTGCGAGTGTTCCTTCTAGGACAGCATTCTCCCGTGCATGGCTTCTTTGCCCATTTGGTGAGCATCAGGTGGAAATCCTGGATTCATTCTTTCTTTTCTTTCTGTGGATGCTCCTCCTCAGTGATGGCTGTAGGGATGGGTTCACCTAGGGGTCTTGACTTAGTGACCATGCCTTTCAATCCTTGTCTTCTCTTTCATTGCCAGCCTCGCTGCTTCACTCTCCCCTGGTTTTTTGAGACAGCCATGGGAGAACAGTTTAGCAGGCGATCCAAGAGACAGTGTTTTGTGTCTCCAGATGGCTACGCTTGGTGTACAGATCGATGGCAAATGTGGAGTGGATTGAGTGCGAGCTAATCGAAACGCTTTTTGGTTTGCTTAAAAGGTAGTGAATATACTTAGAATATACTTAGATATTTTATCATTTAACTGTTGTTATTTATTTAGATTATTTTATATTTATAATTTATAAACATTTTTATATTTTATACACTTTCTAGTATATTCTTATTTATTCTGATGGTTGATATGTAATAAGATCAATCTTGATTTATAAATTATAAACATATTTATAATTATCGATCAATTGATTTATTCAAAAATACTAAATAAAAATGACACTATTATTAAGCAAACCAAACATTGCTACAAGTAAATTATTATAATAAGGGAGTTTCACTGTCTTTTAAGTTGGTTTAGTTGATTTAAGTAGACCAAATTTTATGCTTTGTTTTAGAGATAAGTCACTGCAACATAAAGGATAGTCATGTGTAGGGAAACCTTTTAGTTTTTCTCATTGCTAGACTAAAGTCTTTTTATTAAGAAATAAACAACTCTTGACATTTAAGAGAAGTGTCTTGGGGCCTTAAGCACAATAACTTGCTCTCAAAGTGATAAAAAAATATTTACTTTCTCTTACAAGTTTTGTTTTTGTTTTTTTGTTTTTTTTTTTTTTTGTTCTTTCATTGCCAGGTCTCTATCTTCATTCCATTTAGTGTGCAACCTCTTGTTTTGGTTCAATCCATATGTAAATCTGTTGTTGCTTCATGCTAAGTGCTCCAATTTAGGTAGCTTGGTGTTTGTGCTAAGATTTGCTTCATTTCATGTTCATACTCTTATAATGAAACCCTCAGCTTTGGTAGCTGACAACGTTCACATTGGTAATAATATATATATTATTTAGGTTCTTACAAATTATATTAAGTATTTAATACATAATATAATTATTCAATTTTCCTAATAAAAAAGATAATTGATACTTTTCAAATTATGTTTTTTAAAATCTTTTTTATGAGAAAAATTTTATTGATATTTGCCATTAACGATGATCACTAATATGGTTGATTGTCAAATTAGTGTTGGGTCCAAGGCCTCCTTCAAGGGTTTGAAGCTGGATTGAGAAGACCTATGTGAACTGAGGGAAACTAGAGCATTCACATTGTAACAATTTTAACATATTTCCTTCTGGGATAGGATAACTCTGAATCCATCTTTAAATCAATTCAAGACATTATTTCCCATGTTCATATTAGTTGATAATTGATCTTCCTGATTTGTTCTCTTGATCTATGAGCTGGGTGTTGGATATGGATGGAGCAAATATGGGCAGAGTGCCATATGAGCCTTGGCTCAAGGGTGATAGGCAAAAGATTGTTAAGGTTTATAAATATAAATAATTTTTTCCTGCCTCTCAAGTGAAGTATAAATTGATGGATCTTTGCAAGAACTAAGGAGTGGTTGGTTGGAAAAGGTATTTTTCCTCTTTCAAAGCTCATAGTATTTATATCATCATGCTTTTAGAGGTTTTAATTATTTAAATTGATTGCATCAACAATTCTATAAGAGTTGGGCATCAGTCACTAGGAAATCAGTGAGTAGGTTTATATTTTGTTTCTTTTCTCCTATTTAATGTCAATGTGTTCTTGTTTGTTATGCTAGAATCTAGAGGATTATCATGTCATTCATAAACACTTTGTATATATTTCTTTCTATTCAAATGTTTTAGTGAAGCTAGTTGAGCTTCATTTACTTACAAAGAAGTGTGTTAAAGGCTTTGTAAACAACCACAATTATAACTATCTTTAGTCTAGGGTGATCTAAATATGTTATGTCCTTGATTTGCTATCTAGACAATCTAGTTGTTATGTAAAGTCACTTGGGCCTAGTGACACAACTTTTTATAGTCTCCACTATATGTTTTCCTTGAGTTCCCCCATGTAAGGACATAGGTAATATCTAATATAACACCTTCTAACATGAAATGAATATTTATGATACTTTGGTTTAAAAAGGCCTCAAACGAAACAAATTTAGTTGTGATTTTATGCATAAAAGAATCATTTATACATAGTCTTTATGTTTCATCAGAAGAGATGTGAACACATGGCAAAAAAGTAAGATGGTTGGTTATTTGTTTTTAGGGGAATTCTTAATACATGTTTCCAATCAAGCATGGAAGTTTTAAGTTACACTTCTTAGATGTTATCTTGTTAAAAGATTCCATGACCTTAACCTTTTACTCCTTAATGCCTCTTTCTTGAAGATTAATTAACTTCACATTTATAAATGGAGCTCTATTCCCTAGTGCTTGATATTTTTCTTTCATCTGACAATCAAATTATGCCAATCCTTTAATCTTGATATTCATGATATGTGTGAGAATGCTAAAAAATAAAAGTTGTACCAACTGTCAATAGCACTTATATACTTCGTGAGGATAGATCCTCTTTAGTCTTTATGTTGATAGAGATAATGTCTCCAGCTTCTAAAGGCAATTTATTTCCAACTTCAATCACATTAGTGGAGATGAAGGGCACTATAATTTGTTTTTGAAAAGCAAAGATTTTTGGCATTGCTTTGCTCTAGTGGTTAGACCACATAGCAAAAGTAATCATATAAGTAACTTATTTAAATCCTTTAGTCCTATGCTTTTTATATGTTAAATTTCAAATTTATCATAGCAATACTTACTTATTTATATGGAAAAAAGTCTTGGTTGTGTTTGAATCTACAATATCCTCTTCAGAACATGAATTAGAAGATTTATTTTGCATAAAAGGAACTAGTCTATTTTATTTCTTAGTTTTTGTATAGATTATTTGAGTATTTTGGTTGTTATTCCTAAAATTTGTTACCACAAATTTTGATATAATTTATTTCACTCTATACTCACTCAGTCTTCTAGCTCTAAATTCGTCTAAAAAGCAAAAGTCATTAATTTGACCAAGTTATAGAATTTGTTGAAATAAAGCATGAAATACTTGAAGGCTAGAGCAATCATATATAACTTAAAATACATCCTTATAATCTAAATTGTGTTAGTGGCAAAGTTTTGCTGTGACAATTATCAAGTCTCTAAAAAATATGCTCTTAAAATATTAATATAGTTATGATTCAACTCTAAATTCTCTCAAAGGGAGTTTATTACCAAATTTAATAAGATAAAGTTGGAAATACAAATTTCTTATTATTAAGATTATTGTGGGAACTTTATCCCTATCTAAATAACATAATATATTATCGCACCTTCACATTGACTTTGTGTGAAAATCCAAAACTTTGCACTCCAATATATCCAAGAATTATAGGAATCTAAGAGCTCAAGTTCTTTAGTAATAGTGAATTAGGAAGTAATGATCATTCAATGATTGCGAAGAAAAAACCCACTTCCATAACCACTTGGTTACAACTTTTAAAACCAAAGTGGCAACTCAAGCAAATGTAATTGTGTTATAACTTTAAATGTTTTATAATGAAAAAAGAACGAATGGAGGATATTTGTGAATGGATATGCTAAAAAGATATTTTGTTGAGTATTATAAGCAAATCAAAAATGGTTTATATTTAAAATAAGCATTGAAGTAAAACTGAAAAAATCAAAACCGTTAGATTGAAGTATATCCTCGAATTTACTTGGATATTAATAGTATGTTCCTTACACTTTATAAATACCCATATAAAATTCACATTAATTTTTTATTTGATTCATTTAAGTAAAAATAAATTGTTATCCCAGGAATATAAATTACCACTACATTGAAACAAACGGCGAGAGACATGACGAAGGCGGCACTCCTTGCCATTCTCTCGACGGCATGCACATTCTTCTCCGGTTTCCAATCAGTTGCAATTTGTTCTTGGCTCCAACCATTTTTCCTCCTGCATTTCTTCCACAAATCAGGGATTTCGCGCAATTCTTGCTCGTGGAGCTCCGCGGCGCTCACAATTCTCCTGGCGCTCATCCTCCACACCACTGCCGCGAACCTGGCGTTCCTGACATTCTTCCCGGGAAAGGTGAGCCCGGACAACTCGAAGGCCAGCAGCGCGCCAATTGTGGGAATAATCTGGGCACTGGCGCTGTGGATGTTTCTTCTCCTCCCATTTCTTGCAAGCATCAGCTACAGGAAGCGTTTTGATCGAGCAAGAACGTCCCAGCCGCTGGTATTCGCGTCGATCTGGACCACGGTGTGGTTGTTGTGGAACCGATTCGGCGGCGTTGGCTCCTTCCTCCATCCCGCAGTTTCGCAGGTTACAATCTTGCCGCTAGTGATGAGCGCCGGCGTGTGGGGGATCGATGGGATCGCATTCCTCATGGCGTGGTTCTCGGCGATTCTCCACGACAGCGCCGTTCTCGACGAGAATCT